ACTTTTTTAATGTATCCATTTTAGTTCATGTCAGATTATGACAGTATCTGAAAACTTCAAAAGAACACTGCCTCTTCTGGTTTCCTTTATTTTCTTTACTATGTGGTTCCATCTACTCCTCTAAAATTTTCACAGAGGTGAACTCCCTCTGGAATGCACTGAGCCCCAGCAAGACTTGTGAGGACACTGCTGAGCACTGACTGATGCAAAACCTCTGCATCCTCTTAACACCCAAGGCAGAAAGACAAAAAATCTCAGAAGCACAGTTAGAACTTTTTCTGGTAATCTCACTCCATCTACTCTTCGGACAGATAATTTGAAATTTAAAAGAAAATGTTGTTGAAACATACTGTTTGCACACACATAAGTGTGTGTGTGTCACTTGCTCATTGTAGGTATTACTGGATTTAGCTATTAATTTTTTATTCTTTAGGAACAAATGCATTTAAAACCAGATAGTAATTAAATATGTCAGAAGGTATTTCAGGGATTATTGCTAAGGAAGATACCCAGATGTATTACCAGATGAGAACGTATCCCACATGTTCACTGTTCTGCTGAATACCTGGTTAGCTGTATTATTACAAGAAGAGTCCAAACAGGTCCAGAGATTTTCTCAAACCTGCCTTCAAAACAGCGTACAGAAATGCTATACACATAGATTCCATCCCCTAGAAAGACAAGTAGCCTCTTTTAGAAGTGAATGCTGTCTTCATTTACTAGCACCTTTCCATCATTCCGGTTTACAAAGACATCATCCCTTTGCTATGCAGTAGTTTTTCAGAGAATTTAGAAATAACAGGCCTGGGACTCCAGTCCCCTGATAGTGCTGGGAATATCTGGATTTTTTTTTTTTAAGTCATCTTTGTAAACTGCACCTCAGAAGGGCTGAGGAAAACATGGCTGTTTTCCATCACTGATACTCATTCTTGTTAAAGCTGCCACACACTGCGCTCCATTATGCATCTCTATGACCAAGAGAAGAAGAATGAAGACAGAAGGGAAAAAGAACCAAAGCTGAAAGTTTGGTGGAAATGAGTTTTCCTCTGTCACAAAGCAACAGCTAAAGTTAACTGCTTATTTCACTGCGTGGGGAAAGGTGGAACAAAACCAAAATCTATATAAGCACAACGGGAACATCTACCAGCATATTTGCCAGTTTAACAACACGCAAACCAAACTCCCCCTCTTTCCAGATTACCACAGCTCAACTGAGATCATGAAGGAACTCCTCCTTTACCTTCTACCATCTGACTCGTGGTAGTGGCCAGCAACCTCACCTAAGAGCAGGACCTGCTACGCTAAGCAATATGCAAATGCAGAATATAGAGATGGGTGGGCCCTGTCTGCAGAATTTGCAGCCCAAGTAACTTCGCCAGCCTTCTACAAATGACTGACTTTCCTTCTTCATTTCTAATTCCAAAGACTGTGCCCCAACAGCAAACAGACAAATATGCTAAAATCAAAATATTTTCAGCAAGTTAGCAAGAAGAAAATCAACTGTGGCAACTAAGAGACCATAATGCAGCAGAACAGATCTCACACAAGAAATGTTTTGATGGCATGTGTCATATTTTATGCCACATTGTAAGGACAGAGATGCCGCCTTGCTTCCAGAACTCTCCAAACACGCGGACATGATACTGTTGACCTGGCAATTCATTTCAAGACAATCTAGTACCACATAAATTACAAGACTTCAACTATGGAACATTTTGGAAGTTATCTTCCACTACTTCCCATGACATTTTCGCAACTGTCTGAAAGCCAAATTAGGTTTCTGAGTCAAAACCTGAATGAGGGAAGACTTGAGAACTGCATTACAGAGTCAGCAGACCCCACTACTCAGTGACAGAGTAACCAACATCATTGACAGAACTGATATAGCCTGGTTACTTACAGATTCCCAGTACACTGTTACTGGAAGAGCCTTATTCTTCCTCTGTGCCCCCAAAAAACAGCATTCTGTCCTTTCTGTGGAGTATTCACAGTTTCATGCTATGGCCCCAGCTCCCTGCCATTTAATTACACTTCCTGGTATAATACCTCTGGGCACTTCTCACCTCCCATAGTCCACACTGCAAAATATCTTTTCTAGCCCACATTCCTCTTCTAATTGAGGAAGAAAAGGAAGAAGGGGACCTGCAGAGTAGGCAACACATGATATTGCTGATGTGACAGGATGATTAGCCTGCTGGCTGGTACTCTCAGCTGCCAGGCCAGCCAAAAAGGGGAAAAAAGGTTAACTCTTCACTCCTTTCCCTTTCACCTCTTCCAGCATCCACTTTCATAAAAACCTTTTAAAATGTAATACTGAAATTACTGCCCTTCCATCAGAGCTTACTGACATTGCCCAATGAGTTAAAGAGAGATAAGAGCAGTAGACTAACAAAAAGATAAAGACAACAATCGTAAGCTTTGATGTCCTGGCAAACAAGGCTAACCAAGGTTACTGTCCCCTATTATTAGCATCCAAAGAGCTTTCCAGGGAGGCTATATTTCCAGAGGGGAAAAAAGGTAAATTAGTAACATAACAAAATCACAGCCATTATAATTTTTTTTTTTTTTTTTGTACTCTGCTAATTTCTCTGTCTACAAAGTACAGGGCAAGGGATGTGCTGCTGCTTGCAAAAAACCAAATCTGCCTGGTGGTTCCTGCATGTCTGTTTCTGAAGTGGACAATTAACTGCTCTGCTGTTTCTGAAGACTAGCCAGTATTGCAAATCAGAACAGCTGTCCTCAATGTCATTAGTGAGTAACTAGGTCAGATCTTATAACCAAAAATGTGAGCTTAGACTAAGTCAAAGATCTCTTCTAGTCATTTAATAAGAACCTGAGAGCTGGCCCTTTTCCAAAGAACAAGTGTAAAGTCAGGCTGCTATCTGATAAGACTCTCAGTAAGACTTATCACAGGCTTCTGATGACTGACACCCAGAAGGCTGAGCAGAATGAAAGACACTTTGCTTGCCTTCTAAGCTTTTTTTCCCTCTTGTTTTAACTCTAAGCTATAAATTCACATTTCCCTTTTCAGTACTAGCAACTCAAGTTACCACCCTGAGCCTAAATGCACTGTACCAGTAACAAGAGCTATAAAATAATACTCCATGAACTACATGTTTATTGCTTGACAGAAGCAATACTCTAAAAATGTGGTTACCTTGTTCAAAAGGAACAGAAACCCCTAATCCTTCTTTTGCTTTTCAAAGTAATTCTGTATCCTGTGTGGTCTTGACCAAGACTTATCATCATCTCTGCAAAATGGTAAAAATTATGTTACTGGGGGATCGTAAAGTTTAGAGTCTGTAAAGAATAGAACATGTAATTACATTTGGCTTCTGTATAGGGATTTTAATTTTCAGTGTTGCCATTGTACACTCAGACAAGGGGCTTTTGATAGTCTTTCTTTGATATTGCACAAGTACTTAATCATCCGATTTTAGCAAACATGGTTTCTGAAGAAGACAAAAACAAATTTTAAAATATTTTATTAATCAAATTAATAAAACACAAAAACCCCCAGCATTAAACTCTACAAATTGCCCTTAAAAGACATTCAAAACAATGGACTGACATAATGCTTCTTTACAGTTCAGAAAAATATCCTCTGGTGACACAAATGCCCTAAAACTCCAGAAACCCTTTCAAAGTCTGCATGAGCTCAGTCAGCATAGGATATAAGAGAGGAGGCAGCATTTAGGGAAGCAGGGGTAAACAGCAACTGCTGTTTCCCACACAGGAACTGTTGTTCAGTATAAAGTGCAGATATTCCAAAACATTTTTAACTACAGCTCATGGTTTGGGTTTTTTGTTTGTTTGTTTGTTTGTTTTTGGGTTTTTTTTTTGGTTTTTTGTTTGGGGTTTTTTTGTTTGGTTTTGTTTGTTTGTTTGGTTTTTTTTGTTTTGTTTTTCTTTTTTATGACCTTAATACCACAGTATGCTTATACATTTGTAATAATGAAATAACAGCTTTTAAAGGAATGAATCTGGTTGTAAAAAAGAAGCATCTGTGGAGGTGTCGTTAGTGTGTCTCCAGATCTATAGTCAAACTTCAGTATCTCTAAGAAGTATCTGACTGCTTTGGATTGCTCTGTGTAGACAGTACTCCATTTTGGAGGTATCTATCAGAGGTGTCACTGTACAGATTCCATGGATTCTTCTGCTCTGTGTTAGCAGCTACCTTCAGTGTATCAAGTAGGGATATAACTGCTTCACTCATCCTTTGAGCACCAGGAGTATCTAGAGAAACCATACTAGCTAAAAGTCTAAAAGAATCAGAAACCCCAGCGTAAGAAACAGGAACATGTGTAACAGGGACAGACTGTTGAGCTGCTGCTGAGCTCACAGGATAGAGAACCTGTAGTACAGAGATGATCATAGTTATTGACTTGGGTACAGTGTGGCAAAATCAGCACACCTGGCATTGCTATGAGCTTTAGATTCTGCTGTGTATTTCAGACCACTACTTTGTGAGTCCCTAACCTAGAATTTTTTCCCCATAAACCTTTGTGGGATTTTATAAATAGGGGGAAAAAAAAAAAAAAAAAAAAAAAAATAGAGACTTTTCCCCTTCTGTAACAATAACACTATGGAGTAACCTCCACTAAAGACTCAGCATTACCTGGTAACCTCATTGTGACATTTCTGTTTTCCTTCTCAGGCAATGTAGCAAGAATTTCAGGTGCCAGTACAGATTGTCATTAAATTTAGTAGTGTTTAGCTAAGAGCAATACCAGGGATAAACTAGATTCACTGTACTAGGGAAAAAAAAAAAAGCCTTAAGGGTATCATCTTACAAATACTTCAGACTATTTCAATCTTCTGTTCTAGTTTTGAAGTCGGATGACATCTACACCAACTGGAAATGTCTCTGGGACTTCTGCTCTCATTTGAGAAAATAAAGATGGACATACTGTCTTCTTATTAGCATCCTGTTTTGTGCCACATCCCGCACGGAGAGCTCTTCCAGATCTTTGCTTTTGTAGTCACCATATATTGCCTGGTTACATCATGTCCAGCTGTAAACAGAAGAAACAGATTTGGAAGAAGCAGCATTGAGTGCTTAGAAAATAAAGCAAATTCAGAAATCCTTATTGTGTAACATAAATGGACTGCACAGAACTAAGCTGCTATAAAGTACAAAAACTAACCTAAAAACCTCCTCACGTAATTATATGTGCAATTTATAGATTTTTTTTTTTTTTAAAAGCACAGTTCAAAAGTAGAAATCTGCCTGCTATTGAAGCTTCTTTTAAAACTGTCTACACCATCAGCTTAAGCCTTGGAGACAGATTTGTAATGACTCAGCCGGTAAAAAAATGGCTAAAATATTTATTAAAAAAACTCTCTAAATCCTTGAATTTCAGCAAGTCTATACAGAGAAGGCTAACTGAGAAAATTAAAACATCATCTTTAAAATTATTTTCAGTTTGCAACTCACATAAATAGCTGTTCTAGATCCATAGGTTTTGTTAAATGCTATTAAATTATAACAGTCTGCTATCAGATCAGCAGCCTCACTGGCTCTAACACACTAGAGGACACAACTAACCTACGTACACGATTGTGTTACTACATAACATAGTATTTGCCACCAGTAAACAACACACCTGGTTATGTTTTACAATAGCAAATAATTCCATGTGGCTCTTTTTTGACTCAATTCCTTAGGTGCTTTCTAAGCCATGCACTCTAATCTGCTGCTTTCAGAAGCGCTCACTGTACCTCACTGCAACTTCCTGTTACAGTTTAATTCTAAAGCTGCATCATGTCTTTACAGGAATACTCACCAAATCATCAACATCACCACCTTCATCTGTGGGAGGCAGAGGTTCATTTTTCTTTTCTTTTGGAGCCAAGAACTGAAAATACAAATGTATTTATATGCTGCTGACAAAACTCAGACCCTTAATGTTAAATTAACAGACCGTACATCAAAACAAATCCACCTGTAATTAAAAATTATGAAGGAGGTTTGTTCTGTTTTCCACCCTCCAAAATCATCTTAAAGTACAGGAAATCTCATAAGGCTTGCTTTTAAAGGACTTTGTGGTGAAGTGCATTGAAAAACAAACAAATGGGTATGTTTCTTCAGACAATTTGTGGTTAAGCTGTAAAGAACCATGTAATGAAGATTCTGCAAATATATTTCCTAGTGTCATGGGAAAGTGCACAGAAGAGAAATCCTATGAAGTGAAGTCTACTAAGTTCACAGAAACAACCTCAAGCACAGGAGGTACCCGAGACATGACTGGCTGGAGCCTGGAACTCCAGACTTTTCCCTACCCATCTGTTATTGTCCACTGTCAAAAACAGGATTCTGGGCTAGATGGAAATTTTGTCGATTACACTATGGCCATGTTTATGTTCTTAAGAAAGATAATTTTAGAAGTAATATTGTGTGTAACTACAAAATGCTGAAGGACAGCAACCACCCCACAACAGATGTCAGCTGCCCAATGGCTTGTTTAGAAAATTTCTTAAGTACGACACTCTTGTTCTGTTTGGAACCTAGAAGCTTCCCATATAGCTCAATTAACATTTAACAAATGAACGAAGATGTGAATTAAAAAAAAAAAAGAAAAAAAAAACCTCAAACATGCAATATGGTTAGAATGCCAGTCTTCAAAAATAGAAAATTCATTACGTAAAATTCTACTGCCGTAGCTGCTGATACAACTCACCATATGCTCTTCACTTATAGCATGGCATCAATAAACAGAAGGAAAAGGTAAGTTGCTCAGATACTATAACTGAAACCAAACATACAGACACTCTCCGGAGCACAACCGCTTCTGAATTATTTTCCTCTCAGCCTAACATAGTGGGGGAAAAAAAATTTCACTAGAATGGTAGCAAAAAATTCAAATAGTTGACTCTTATTTAAAAAGTAACATGTTGTCTACAAGTTTTAGTTATGGTCTCTTTACCAATATCCTCACTATAAAATCACAAATTTTCTTTTTCTTATTAAAATGCAGCAGAAAAAGTATATAGAGCCAAGAACAACCTTGCCCCAGACTAAAAATTGGCTACAAAAGCTGAGGATGAAGATAAGCTGTATCCCATGACTCCAAGTTCCATCATTCTTCTTCAGAAACAACTTAGCTATAACTCCAGATGATGAAAGAGAGCAACTAGTTAGAAAATAACCACATTAAACAGGCTATAAATACCTGCTTAGAGTTTATGCAATTTCTTTGTGCAGACAGCTGGCTCCTGAAAGCAAGCTACTGTTTACCTGAGGACTAAAACTATAACAGCCACATGTAAAAGACCATGGGATCCCTATCAGAGCACTGCTCTGAAACAATATACATGTCCTGTAAAAAGTGCAATATTATTCTACATAAATAAAATGTTCTGGTCCTTCTCTATAGCAATACTGATGGCTTTAGACAGGGATTAAAACACTGGGAACTAACCTGCCACAGCCCATTTGTGGGAAAGTAACAGATATAATCACCAGGATGAAAAGCAAATACATTGCTTTGGGTTAACACTAAAGACAGAGGACATAGACAACCTCTACCTAGTTGTCTCACTACCCAAAGTTCATGCCTTTCCTACATCCTAAACAGCAACATCCAAGAGGAATGTAGAAAGCTTACTCCACAGACAACACTCAGGTTTTAACATGCTGAGTTCAACTTATCACACAGAATTTCTGGCTGCAAAAGAAAAGGGCTAGAAGGAATTAGAATTTCAAGATGTAGTATCTGTATCTTTGTTGCCGGAAAAGTTCTCAATCTAGGAGTAACATACTATGAAACTAAAAGCTAATGACATTGTCAGCTCTCAAAAGTTTTTTTTTGTGCCAGATCAAATTTCATTTTACACAGTTAATAGAGTCAAATGGTATCTCTGAAAGCAGCACATTTTTCAAACTTTTTAAAATTAGCTTTCCCACTCTAAATTAGGTAAGAAAAGCTAAAAGCTAAAGCAGTACTTAATGAGGATTTGCAATAAATTGAAACCTGAAGTTTCCATCAAATGCTGAACATCCAAAATGTTTTTTCCAAAATCTGTTTTACATTTATGCAAAAGCAAATTACATATAATAGTTGTGCTGAAATCCATTATCTTCCCCAAAGCAACTAGAAAAAGCACTTGACATTGCTGCTCTTTTAACCTATTATCTTCTTGCTCTGAAAAGAGTATTTCCACTATTAGTGGAAAAAAAAAAAAAAAACACAAACCCAACCCTACCTAAAATCTTTTTTCTCAGTGCCAAGGAAACATGCTTGGATAACCTAGCTCAAAAGGAAAATTTTTGTGTTACCTCTCTAATAAGCAGCCTCCTAAGTCTTCCTTTCTCCTTCAAACAGCATAAACCTATAAATCTGAAATTTTATATCCAATACAGTCCTGAAACCACGACCAGCTAGTGATCTGCACATCAGAGAAAATGCTTTTGTGTCACACAGGACCACACTGACAGCGAGTCCCTTGACTTAGACACTTGCATGTGGCCTGTTACAGAGGTGAAGAAAACTTGCATCTTACTCTATTGTGTGATATTTTAAAAGATCTACTAGAACTCTTTCATGAAGGGTAGCACCTTCAGTATAGGAAAAAATGAACTGTTTTTCCAATCTACTACAGACCTAAGAAAACACTGGCTTTGTATGACACAGAAAACCTGGGGCAAGGTCTAACTGGACCAAGGAAGACTAGATTTTAGCTCAGACCCATAACCTCAAGACAAAATTTTCTACCCCTGCAGATCTTACTCCAAGAATATGTACTCTTCCAGTTTCTTAAGTCATATGAACCCTTGACAGCAATGGCAAATCAGGGTACTGGTTTGGATCTGAAGAGTGTGTGTGTTTGGGGTGGTTATCTAGTGAATAAGTGGGATTGCCAACAGCAAGAATTTATTATTTCATTTTTTCTGGAAGTTAAGATAACTGTCATGTTAGAGAACTCTAACATGAAAAGAGCTGACTGCATGCAATCTGTCTTATTCTTATTCTACTTGTTCTACTTTAAAGGAAAGTTATGGCTGTTCTAGGACCTTCAATTAACCACAGAAGAACTGAGGTAAATTGTTACAGATGACAAAAGCAGTTTCTAAAATACCACCTTTTACCCGCTCATTAACTCACTCATGGAGAATCTATTTCTACTGCCTTCTGGTTATGGCTAACGTAAGGCCTAGAAGTTGCTAAAATCAATGTGGCATCTTTTAGAAAAGCTGCTTTTCTGCAAAGTACTTAGTGATTTTAGCCACAGGTTTACCCTCAGGGGTGTGTAATACAGGGACCCTCTTTCTCCTAACCTATTTAAAATCATGACTAGTAGGCTGACACAAGAATGCCTGTCTTACCCTTTCCATGCAAACACGATTTTTTATAGCAGCTCTTAATTCTGCTTTCTTTCAAACAGAAGGCACCATTCTGCCTGTTATAATTCACTCCATTTTAACTCTGACATCCTTCATTCATCACTGCTGTTACTGAAATGTTAGATTTCTGTAGAAATAAGACCTGCAAATACCCCAAAACTTGTTTCCAAAAGGTTCTAATATGATCACCAATAATAATACCAGCATCATCTATGATGTCTGATGATTCAGAAGAGCTGCATAAAGTGGAAAATACTGATATTGTTGCATGTGATTCTGTGATATATGGTGAACACCAGCCACAACAACATAGTGCTAGAGCTCACAACACCTTTAGACAAAAAGAAGTGTAGATTTTTGAACTCGTGTGCTAACATCAACATCACAGTTCCTTCTGTGAAGTTCAAATAGTGTTCTTGGATATATAAATAGTCTATTACTGTTTCACTACACCAAGTTTTTCAAGTTCTTATCCTTTCTACAGAAGGTTTTCAGACAATTATGTCAATACATGCTAATTTCTAAAGATTAATTAAAGCAGAATGTAGTGGTACATACTAGGGAATTATTTTTGCTCTGAATTGGGCCAACTTCCTCTGTATGGCAAAAGGACTCTCTTCTTCCTTCATACAGATGCTATTTCATTCAGCTGAAGATTTATCTACATAAGAAAGAGTCTTCTGTTCCACAGCAAGGGTTCTACACAAACAGATGCTCGTTAAAAGAACGATACCTTTTCAGCCTCTTCACTAGTCACCGAACTTTCCTCCGCTTCATCTTTACTGATCAAAGAAATTCTGTCTAAAAGAATATGAGATATAAAAATATCATTAGTAGGCTTCCCAAAAACACACTTCATGTTAGAAATGAAAAGTCTCCCTAATTCCAGCTTCTGCATGTGTCATCAGCACCCGCAAAAATAAAAAAATATTGCTCAAAGGAAAATGTGACTTGCATAAATGAGTCAACTATGAAATAAACTATGATATAAAAATAAATTAATGAGCATATTCATAAGCTTGTGGAAGTCTCCATTTAGGAAACTGCTAATATTATGACAATCAAACTAATGAGACACTGAAATCATAGATCACAGATGAAATGCTGAAAATCTATCAGAAATTACACTTTTAGTCACTCACAGCATGCTCTTAGGCTCTTAGAAAAATTAACTCCTAACATACAAACACTTATGCTGTGATTACTTACAGTCTGACTATCAAAGTTGATCCTTTGATAGTAACACAAGACCGACTCCCCCCAAAATAAATTTAAAAAATCTCAGTTACTTTTTACCCCAATAGCTTCTCCAGTCTAGCTCATCACTTAGCTACATGAATGCTTGTGTCTGAATGAAGAAGCTGTGCATGTGATAGCAAAGAACAGGAGATTCATAAAGGTTTCAGCAGCAGCACACGTGTCATGCCACCTTAATGTGCCCATAGAACTACAACACAGTGTTTCATGAGACAAGTGAAATTGTCCAACAGCTCTGTCTTGCTCCTGAGCCATTAACTCACATCCATCTTCCTTTGGTGATTGCAGTCACCCATGACAAGGCCCAATGTGTGCCACACTTGGTAGAAAAGAGGAGACAGATCATGTGTCAAGAAGCAGAAAAATGATTCTAGCATGGCTTTAGAAGATCCAAATCTCCTACTTTCAAAGTTTGTTGGTTTCTTTTTTCAAATTCCTTCAGAGAAGATCCCCTACAAGACTATTGAATATAATAGTCTTTCAGTGTTGTCTTGGGTTGCTAAACAAATTCCCATTTTGTATTTTGTAAAAATTGGACAGAGTTCATCACTTACAAAGGTGCTATACAATAGTATATCATTACATTTTATAGCACGCACCCTTAAGAGATACAGCTGTGCATTTAATAGATTCCTTTAGCACTAGTTCCAATTGAAAACAACAGTATGATGTAAAAGATTTTTTTTAAGTCCACGTTTCATATTTGTGAAAATGTTCCTTTATTTATCACTTGTGCAGTCTCTGAATGGCTTTTAGAACTGCACTGCCTTGTATCTCCCAGTTTAATCAGAGGTAGGTGTCACATTACCACAGATTCTGTCCTTCAGGTTGCTTAAATACAAAATGATCAGTGACATATTTAAATGCTATCTATGCCTTTTTTGAAGCTTAATTTGGAAGAATCTTTTTATATCTCTGCTACATGAGTTTTTTCCATTTATTTCGAAATTCAGCTGAAATCATATTTTCTTCTCCTTACCCTGTAACATTTAATTTGTCTCTCTTCTTCCACAACTAATTTACGATTTCAATAAGACTTGGCAAGACATTATGAATATTGCTGATATGAAGTTATTAGTGCAAAAAAGGAAGCTGCAATGTGAAAGATTTTTACATTTTTTTTTTTTTTTTCAACAGGCTGCAGGAATGAACCATATCAAAATGCTGCTCTGTGGTTAAAGTATCCCATTGCTAACAAAGTTTTCTCATACATAACAGATAATACAACTAGATTTTTTTTTTTTAATTCTACCTTGTATCATGATCTCCCAGAAATCAGCTAAGGCTTTATCTTCCACCTTTGATTTCAGGGCCTGCAGAAAATCATTAAAGCACTGCACCCTGGACAGCTGAAAAAAACAACAGCAATGATAAAGAGGAAATATTTAAAATACTGAAGAGCACTGCAAACTTAATTCTTCATGAAGTCATCTAACACGGTGAACACAAGTCATTACAGGGTTTGGTTTTTATCTCAACTAAAACCAAGAGTTCTAAGGTGAGTCACAAAAACTGCCTTTCAGAAAGCTAGAAAGACTTCCTTGTAACTAGTTTTACCGAAGAAAAAATTTGTAGCATTGCTTATTTTTCTTTCACAAGCCTCAGGTCACAGGGCTTTTGGTTTTATGTTTAAAAGAAAGCAAACAAGCACATCATACCAGAGAAGCTAGTCCGCATTCCAGTAAGAATAAAGAAATATAAAATGCTAATCTATTTCTTAATTTCAAACAGCATAGCAGATTTTAATCTATGAATCAATCCTTTTTTCTGTAGCAATAGATTATCCAGTTTCTAATACAACAAATAGCCCCATCATGCCTTTAATTTGAAAGGGATGAGAGCTTCCACATATTAGCATTACCTTCATGGCCTCCTCTCTGAAAACGCTGATACAATTGATCCCTTTCATGTAGTACTGTGAACCTTTATTTTCCAGGAACTGATCAATGCGGTTTATCAACTGCTGACTCACTGAAAGAGAAGAAGACATAAACAAACTAAAGAATGCACACTTTCAAGGCAAAACAATGTTTCCTTTACATCTCTCCTTTTCCATTCCAAAGGCATCTAAAGAGTTAATCACAGCCTTACTACCTCAAGCTACTCAAGTTGATAACTGATATCTAATTACTTCAGCCTCACTGGAGAAGCCAGATATACTAGGAAGAAACCCAAGCGCAGCCAAGGCAAAAGTCTATTCCTGAAAGCCAAGGAAAAAAAAACCCACTGGCTTACCTGGTTTAATAGATAATAAAACCAGAAAATAGGGGATCCTAAGGCTACGGGAGGTTCCATTCTACAACGAAAGCCTATACCACAAACATTCTCTGAAACACATGCGTATTTCAATAAAAGTGTTAAATTTACAGTGAAGTTGTAATAACATCAAAACAACATCTGTAGGGTGACTGCAGTTAAAAGACTACCTTGTTGTTACTGGCATTAGACTGGGTCTTATCTCTGTAGAAGCAGTTTGATGATTTTTCATTGGGGCAATGCCGTTTATGATTACAGAGATAAGTTTTGCAAACTATGCATGCCTGACAGAGAGAAGCAGAGGCAAACAGTGAGACTTGTACCAACAAGAAGGAGAACACCAGTTTCATCCTCATTGTTGACCTCCTAAAAGGTGGGTAGCTTTAAAACACTGCAAATGTGGCAAGTGAAAATGTCACCAAGAGCTCTTCAACCCCAGCTAAATTCTGCTGGGTTTCAGGACTTTATTTTCTTCATGTTTAATTACAGGTGAGGAACTGTACAATTTTACCCTCTGGCAGACATCTAAGCCTGGAAAAAGACAAGCATGAGGAGGATACAGCAGTAATCTATAAACTCAGAAGCACTGTGAAAAGGATGAATAGAGAGTGATAGTCCCCTGCCTCTCTCAAAACTAGAGCAATGAGTTGGGTTAAGAAGAAATGAAAAAAGAAGTACCTCTTCAAACAAAATCAGTTAACCTCTCTACCACAGGCTGCTGTGGGATGCCAGAAGTTTAACAGCTTAAAAAAAAAAAATCCTTGAACAAATTCTCGGAATTTTTAAAAGAGGAATGCTATCAAGGGAGATTAAAGATGATGTTGCCACTGAGGAATCAATCACAGGAAAGCATTCTGGACAAGCCAGAGCACCTGCCTGTTCTGTTCCTGTACCGTGAAAGACAGGTTACTGGGTTAGGAGAACCTTTAGCCTGACCTATAGCCCTTCTTACATTCAGATGTTACTGCAAGTATTTCAGCCATGGAAACACCAACAAAGCAAATCATCTGCCAGGATGATGGAAGAGACAAGGATAAGTAAACACACCAAGAAGCAGACATAGTTTAAAAACTATTCCACTCTGCTCACTGTAAGAACACAGAGTGCTGGCTGTCACATTTATGTTCCATAAACTGCCCAGCTGAACAGAATGTGAAGGATAGTATCCCTGAAAAGAGTGAAACGAGACACATTTGATATTCTCCCACTAGCTTTTGTGACTCTTGCTTTCTTTGACTCTACACAGTTTCTAGAAAAGGAGGTAGATAATGGTTCTGCCCAACAGCAGCTACCACACAAGGAAGCGTGCTCAAGTGCCTACTGCTCTTGAGGTGATCAGCTCACTCTCATTTATTTTACCAGTAGCTAACAAACTAAAATGAAGTCTTACTATGTAAGCTCCCCAAGTTAATTCAGTCCATTTTTTTCATGGTTAACAATTTTCTCATTAAACGTTCTAATTTCTTACGAATTGCACTAATAAAAGCAAGTCCTGCTGGTGTTTTCAGTGGTGGTGGCATTTTTTTAAAATGCTGCCTTTTCATTGATGTGTTAAATTAAAACCCCAGGCACTGTGAGGGTGCAACAGAAGTCCTTATTGTCAGAATTATTCCAGCATACTGTGTGAAATTTTCAGACACTCTACTACTTCTTTTGCATTCAATTTTTTAAAAATCCCTTTCCATTTGACTGTACTGGCAGACATCAGAAGAAAAGACTTTTTCTTCCTACTGACTGTGAGCTGCCTCCTTTTGAAATCTGTTGCAAGGAACCACAAAAACCCTACAATGTTTTACTAGGCACTGAAAGACCATAATGTATGCAGTAAATAGGTTACATGGTAACAATATTTTAAGTCGGATTCTTTTAACATCTTGAAACAGTTTGGCTAAAGTTGGGTCTGTCCATTGGGTTTCTCTTCAATGACAGGCCAATGATTGATGAATCTAAAATAGATAAAATGCCTGTGTTCTGATTAGACTACCAAAATACTTCAGAGGGACAAAGATAATACAAGACACAGTAGATAAGTATTATAACTGGAAGTTCTCAGAAGTGGACTCTTCTGTTACACATCTAGGTCTGAGACGTTTGTTGATTTCCTGCTGCCTGTCATTTTCTTTTCCCTTGTGAATCTTTGGCTTTGGGTGCTGCAAAAAATAGATCTCCTGGTTTTGGAGAAAGGCATGTTCTCTATAAAGATGTCTATTTAACTAAGATGTGAATACTAGTATTAACTCTGTTAATCTCAGGCATTGGGGTTTTGAAGAGCAGGTCCTGGAGTTACAAACTGACAGCCTATTCAGGCCACCACTGTGTAATAACGTTTGTTTTTTTTTTTTTTTTTTTTCTCTCCCAGCTTCCCTGATCCCTCACAAACATTAGAGAACTAACAAACTTCTACCTTTTGCATAACCTGGAATTCCAGCACTCCTAATGACCACCACATTCTAGAGAACAACCCAAGAAGTTTTAATCTTTTGTTTCTTCTTCTTAGTGTACCTGATTGATTAGGTAACAGATATAGTGATTAAAAGCTGGAGAACTATAGGCAAAAAATAACCTTTGAGTAGAAGATCTCATAGTTCTAACAGAATTTAATCCCTTCTTTACTGGCATTCAGATACGTTCCCTACTCCAAAATACATTCATCCATGCTGTTATTTCTTGTGAAATATGTCATGAAAAATTATATTCACTTTTTATCTCTGAATAGTTACAGTACAAAATTGTAGCTATATTTTCACGTTTGTTCAGTTCAGTCCTTGGTCTTGATTACTATGCCAGATTACAGAATAATAACAGATAAAACTGTATTATAGTCCAAGTTCAACTCCTCAGGGATTTCAGCCCACACACCTTAAAAATTAATCAGGTTAAAAAAATAGTTCCTTCTGTAGGCAGAAGACTCCTGTTGTTATCAGACTTTTGATTTATCCATTGGTGATGGTAATGACTTGTATTCATGAACTTCATGTAAGAGTCAGTGACAAATCAGTTAAGACACCTGATAATTAATTTTAAACTACTGCTCTGTAAGTATTATCTTTTTATAACTGAAAAGAAGGTATCCTAAACCAAAAATTGTCTTAATTTTTGACTTCCTTCATCTTTAAGACAAGAAATAAGTATTTTAAGATCAAGAACTGCTGAACTACTCCAGTGCCCTGTCCAATTTTCAAATGGTCTCTCGAAATGGTCTGTGTATGGGTCACAATGATTTAGGCTGGATATCTGAAGGATGTACAGCACAAATCCCCACTCAAACCAGAGTTGCTGTGGATCAGGTGGCTCAGTGCTCCACAGACTTTAGTTCTGAGTAGCAACGAGGATGGACTGTCTTCAAGTCTGGGCCCCTCTTTCTCTCTTTGACTACCACCATGATGATTTTTATTATTTTCTCCCCCTTAACATCTAATTCAAATTCTGTTTGTTGCAACTCAGAGCTTTACATCTCACCCGCTCTCTACACTCTTCAAAGACAAATCTGGCTTCATCCTCTCTGTGAAGCAAACGTACAGAAAACTTCAAAGTGATTTTATATACTCAACTCTTTGGTTTGCAAATACTCTTCTAATGACTGAATCATTTTCATCAAACCACTCATTGCATTTGGCCTACCTAGCAGTCGGGTATGAATAGTCTCTGAAATACATAAAAACACTCAGTAAAATAAAAATGTAGACGAATTGCAAAGACAACTGCCAACGAAAACTGAAAGTAAATACCAGGTTTTTTAAAAAGTATCTTGGGTCTATAAAGATGTTAACTATGCACATTTCTACAGAACATCTTGCAACAAAATATCATCCCTGTTGCAACTGGCTAATAAAATCCCACTGCAAACCTCTTGCACAGAATTCTTTTATGAAACTATTCTTTTATGCATACAAAGCATCCAGTGCAAAATCAGTGGTTTACATTTTACCTCAGAAGCTGATCCACATGCCATGGCAGAAGTGTGACACCTCGGGCAGAAAAGAGCATTTGCTGAAATCTACACATGAATTACTGAGTCTTAACTTTATTTTTCTACAAATACCTAGGAATAAAAATATTAGCAAATTTGCTAAAAATATAAAAATGAGATTTTTGTACTATTTGTCCCTGGATATTTTTTCATCCATGGATATTTAACATCTATAAACTGTACAGTTGCCATTGCAAATTTCTCTCTTTGCTGGCAATCAGTAAAATAAAATAAAAAAAAGCTCTTTCAATGACAGGATTTCAAAGATAATATTCTCAGATAGGAGTCCTGTATGGTGCAATGAAATCCAGCCTATACACTCAATAAGAAAATTTGTAAATCTTCTGTGTGAAAAAAGAAAATACTATTAATGGGTAAATATCTTTTTTCTCTTTCTATTAAGACACCTTGTCTGCTACACAAGCCTGTGAAAATACAACACACTGTATCAGACACCTCCTGCTCTCCAGAAATGCAGACATGGATGGAAACCTGTAAAGAGTCCAAAGGCATGAACTGGCAGTCATGTGGCTACTCCTTTGGCATCAGAGAGATGGCAAGCACTCACTGTACTTGAGAATCTTCTTTGCAGCCACAGTAATGAAGAAACTCAGTCTACACACTTGGGAGTATTGATTAGATTCTACTCAGGCAAACTAATCTATTTTATTTGCATTCATTGTCAAAAATGTCAGAAGCTGTTATCAGAAGCCTGCTCTTTCTGATGACTGTGCACTTGTAACTGGCTCAATATAAGACTTGTATAAAATGAGATCTCTCTGGCCATGAATGTAAATAAGAAAGTAAAGATATCTGGAGGGGAAAGACAATAGTAGTTACATGAGCAATCAACATTAATCAGTAAGCTGGCACCAACACACAAAACTCCTCATGTAAGCTGTAAGTGGGTCCCTACTGTAATAAACTACACAGATGTCAATTAAAAACAAAGTTGACTAATGTTTCAGGAATTGAGCTGCCAGTCTCAGGAAACCTACCCCTCTGACCCTTACCAACCTGAAACTTGTAGATTTTATAAAAAATATGCATTTACATATTAGAGACCTGTTTCTCACTAACAGTAAAAGCATTGTTTTTCCTGTTCTGGTGTGCTGTGGAATGCAGCATCAGACACGGGCTAACTTGCATTTAGGCTTCTCCTATGAATGGCACAAACCCTGATCATCAACTCCCAGTCAGGCCACTGCAAGAGATAAATTGATACTCAATTTCGAGAATAAATACACCATCAGGGCTTCCTACAGGTTGTTAAAAAAAAAAAAAATAAAAAAAGAAAATAAAAAGCCCCGTGCCATACTTTGGTCTTGATAACTTTAGCATTCTGTTGAGAGGCTTGCTGTGGACTGAGGAGGATGTAAAAATCCCTCCCCAGTCAAACAGATGAAAGTCCTTCTCCTCCCTACAAAGGGACCATGTTACTATTTTGTTTTGAAATGAGAATGTAGGCTCTATTCAGTTTGGAAGACTACAGTGGATGCTCTTCTTATACTAGAAAGAATCAAACCAGGATGCCACCTAGTACTTCTCCTGCCTGCATCCTGACACATAAAAAGTAGTATTTTTTCCCCAATAACCTATTTCGATGCCACAGATTATCCTTTCCTGCAAAGACATTTTACATTTCACATGTTCTAGCAGAGGAAAAGAAGTTTCATCATTAAACATTTGGTATAAAATTATACTAAAAAATCCCCTTAGAACCAGTGAATAGTTTTAAGGCAGAATTTACTATTTACATAACCAGAGTGCAATACAGCAAGCCATTAAAAACATGCCTGTAATGTTTTATGCATTAAGCTACCTAAAAGGCTCTAAAGGAGAAAAAGGATTATGCAGAAGAAAAAAAAATAAAATGCAGAGCATGTTTTTATTGATAATGGCACCTCTCTCTCCTTTAAAAGGGAGACTGCACTACATTTTAACTATACCTTATAATTACAGAGCAGATAACATATAAAATAAAAGCAGATTGTTCAAAATTTCATAAGCCATCCAAACATGTACTGCAGTTCTCTCCAGCACAGCTACCAAGTGGACATATTTAAGCACTCTTTAGTTAAACCTCCATCAAGGGTAATCTTATGTCTGCCTTAAAGCTTTCCTATATTATAAAATTAACTACCATAACAACGCAGTCAACTGTTTCACAGTTTCTGTATTCTAATATATTGTACAAAGCTTTTTTACTGCATCTTAATATATCTGCAGTTTGAGAACACAATTCCCAATATTTATTCAATAAACAATTTATTCTGGATCTAATGCAAAATCCATGTAAAAAGCTGGCTATCTGGCTTATAGATCTGGAAATTCTGGAAAGAAAGTCTGTTAAGGCCTACATAGCTATCACAAATCAATATACTACTCAATATCCTCCTCAAATTATGTCCAAAAGGACCAAAGGCCTTGTTGAAATATCTAGCATCTCACTTGAGCATCTCTGCACATCTTTTTCTTTGAAAAAAAATGCTACATTAGTGGCTATTCAGCAGATGAGATTTATCTTGCCACCACCCTGAAATCACCCTTTAGAAGACAAAAGGACCCATCCATCTTGTGCATCCTTTTTAAGGTACCTTTGGATTATATATATCTCACTACAGCTATTCCAGTAGGGAAATACCATAAAAATGATAATTCCATTACATTTTCAGACTTAGGTCATGCAAAAGAATGGCTGACCTGTGCTTTGTATTCGTCCCCATCTCTGCATCAAAACCCTGTCATGCTGTATGCTGAGAAAAGATTCACAACACACAGAACCTCCTCTCATCTGTAAGAGCCACATACTACCTGCTTATTACACCTTAAATTCACCTCTGCTTTCTTTTCCTCACAATAAGCAGTAACAAATGTTTTAAAAGATTTAAATCCTAGGCATCATTCTTATTTCTTCATCAGACAGAATAAGCAGACTGCAGAAACCAGGTTTCTCACATCACACACAGTCAACAGCCCTGCAAGCCAGAAAGATCCTGTGAAGCCCAAAGAGAAGCTGGTACCCAGTTTGATGAGGCAGTCAGTCAGTACCTCTATGGGATCCTCTATGAGAAAAACCTGAGATGTTGCTCAGATGCATCAGTGTAGTTGTCTAGTGCCATCTTACACAAACATGGGTATCTGAATCGTTCAAATCAGGAAGGCAAGTTCAAACATGAGAATTCGGAGTGATACCAGAAGCTAAGCAGTAAACTCCAAAGCATCAGACATTAGAAACTTATGTTTAGACAATTGGATTGCTCTTACTGAACCCTTAAGATGCTACTAAATATAATTAAGATATATAAAAGTCATTTACCGTCTCTGAAGTCAGCATTCTTCTGCCTCACCAAAATTCGGAAATCTTCTGCTGGGTTAACACTCCCAACCTACAAAAAGTTCAGAAATTATACAGTCATCTGCCAACATCCATCTCTTTCTTTTTGCAAGACAACAAGAACCTTTAAATTTCTCTTTCTTTAATATGGAAACAGAAGCTCTACACCTCTGTGCATGCAGACTCCTAGAAGTCAAGTCTTACTGTGCGTGTTAATGCACAGTACTCCTAGCAAAGGTTATTTATGATATGAGCAAGCTGAACTTACACCTACTATGCTGCGCTGTTATAATCCAACCATGTTCTCTGGGGTTTGGAAGGCAGAAGCACAGTATTTCAGGTTATCTGCTAGTTCAGCTTTGAGACTTTCCGTAGCCCAGACCTCTCACTAATCTTGACAGATGCTTAACGAGGAACAGGAGCTCCCAGGCATGCGGGTATAGAATCATTGGTTTGACACTCCAATAGGAAGCTCAAAATTAAAAGCTTGCACTCAGTTCATCTACCCTTTCTGGCCCAGTCTGACATTTTAAAGCTGGAGCTCTAAATAGACATACAAGTGCAGAAACCTTACAGAGGAACTAAACCCAGGTCAATACCAGGTCAATTGAAAAACAGAATGCAATAATCTTAGGGCGTCGAAAAAAAAATTATATTGCTTAAAATTTCCTTTCAGGAATCAAAATTCTCCTAACTAAAATTTATTTGAAATTTTTATGCTTTGTTGTGAAAGTCATTCATAGATATTTCAATAAGCTGGCTTGGTCACTTTGTGTTTCTTTTAAATTTGACAGAGACATTTTTCAGGAAATACCAGAAATTTATATGATGCAAAACATTTAAATGTTATATAAATTTTAAAAAAAAAATTTCAAGTAGATATTTTAGAAAACAACCTTAAAGCATAGCACATTTGAAAGCAAATGAAGTTACCTCAATATTAAATCACTTCTTTCTCTGTAATGCAGAAAATCAAATAAAGGAGGATGCATATCTTTTTATGATACAGGCTTCATCTACTCATGTATATAACATTTGGAATTAAGTCAGATCTAGCAGCAAGATGAAGCCAAATTTTGTGATATAGCACCCCAATTAATGCAGAACACAGTCTCTAAAATCACTGCAGTACTTTTGACTAAATGTACAGAAGCAACTTCTATGTTTCAGATGATATAAAAGAGAGCAAGAGCAAAATTCAGCCACTGAACCCCAGTACTGAAATTCTGTTCTCTTTTCTCAGGCTTGCCCATTAGAGTTCTAGGCACTGAAGGAGAATTTTATTCTAAAATACCCAAGGTTGATGGAAACTTCTGCTAACATATACCCAAGGGTAGAGAAAGATGTCTTTATGATTTCCAGTAGAGTCTCAAATCTGCAAGCAGACACCATTTCAGTCATGTTTCAGCTAGAAGCTCTCCTTTTATCAGGAATTCTTTATATTAACCATAATACACTTAGAGAAATTAATCTTCTCCTTCAATAATCAGATTTGTAAAACTATGCTTACAGAAGTGACGCTGCCTTCAGCAAGCTTTACGATGCTAAAGCTACCTTCCTCATCTTCAATTTTTGGTTTCTTAGGGTTGGGTCCATCTTCACTGCTGCAAATAAGAACAAAAAGAAACCAATATAAACACTTAAACTGTCCTGCCTACTAAACAGGGAGTCAGTAAGTTAATGAAATATACACTGAACACTGGACTAAACTTCATTATATACCTGTTTCAAAATTAACATGAAACAATGCCTCATTTTTCCCCCACTGGCTGCACAAAGCAGGCAGCAGAAACGGGAATGAACTTGTCTAGCATCTCTTAGCTATCTTAGTATCAAGCAAAGGCACTGCTTGTTGAAGGTGCAGTATTACTCATGCTTGTTTCAGGGCTGAGTTTACTTACAGACATCGTCTCCACATTTCTAAATACAGAATATCTCAAATCACTTCATTTGGAACCTGTATATTGAGCTAATCTTGATAATTTACAGTATATTACATGACATTGAGCATTCTCACCAGATTAATTCTAAACATAAAACGGCAAGAAAAATTTAGCATTTAAGAAATTAATTTACTCTTCAAAAATTACCTCCTAGTTACTGTCTTGGAATTGACTAGCTACTACAAACATGTTTACACAGTAGCTTTTGACTCTAATGACCCATATTCTCCATCAGCACCCAAGTGCTTTATAAACTTCCACTTACAGCAGTCAAAACCTGTTCAACAAACTCCAATTAAGCATAAGGATTTTCTTGGGATACTTCAAGGTACATCCCAAAATGCTTTCAAAAGATTATTTGTTATTTTTAAAAAACTAATTGGGATATTAGGCTACTTTCTCACTCTGCCCACACAGGCACCATATACCAAGGTGTACATTCAAATTAGGCACTTAACTGTAACATCTAACATGCCAAATTTCAGAGCACATCTTGGCAACACAAGAAAATCCATGTAATCACAAAAGGGGAAGAAAATCAGACATTGTGTTCTGTGCCACTTAATGTGACAAGCCACTGACACAGAAGCATCAATTTCAGCTTAAGAATGACTGAAAGCTGCACAGAGACCTTAACGACAGTACTTGTGTTCAAGGGATTTCAAAACAAAGTACAAAGTTTTTCTTAAAAATTGTACTACTGCAGTGAGAAGAAACTGCTCTTTATGATGGAGGGACAAAGCCAGAGATCCCGGACTAGGTGCCACTGATTTCTACGAGGTTAGAACTGACTTTAAAATCATACTGCACATTAGAGAAGCAATCGACTATTAGAAAGTAAAACCAAGGTCTGTGTTAAGTTCTTTCTATAACACACTCCTCCCCTACTTTACAATCAGTGCATAACCCACTTGGTTTCTGTGGTCTTCTCTGTCCTTTACTTAATTTTGTCACTACTGAAATGAAATTCCTTCTCTTCAGCAACTCCTGCCATCCAGCATAACCTTACTTATCACTCTAGGAGAAATGATGACTCTGATTATGCCTGAGGATGAGGAGGGGACACCTTGCTTCATTATCAACTCTGCTCATTTTCTGTCTGACCTTGAACAAGTTGCTTGATTGTTTTGGACAGTCGATATGCCCGTCTGTAAAAAATGGAAAAACTGATATGTCTCCAACACCAGTGAGTCTAGAACTTCCACTTGAATCAAAATTCTTGTATATTGATGTGGTTTGATGAAAGGTGCAAAGAGCAATGAAAATTCTCTTTTAGAATATTTTTCTCCAAAGGTGTTTTGCAATCAATTGCAGTGTCTTGAAATCTTTTTCCTCTTGTATTATTTTTACTGATTCAAAATACTTTGAGATTGGAAGGAGAAGAAAAATGATGCTTATGCATTTAACTGCCTAGGACCAGATCTATAGCTGTTATTAACCAGTGCAGTACAGCAGAAACCAATGAATCCATACCCATTTATATCAGACAAGGATCTGCCATTTACAATGTTACTGGTAATGCACTGATTGGCAGGTTTTTTTAAATGGTAAAACATACCATTTGAGAAAAAATTAATGCAATACAAGATTAATCGAAAACACTCACTTCTACATTTACATGCAAGCTTCTCACATAATGCAAAGCTGGATGAGGTAACAGCCTCTCCAGTGCCCATCTAAGGAGAAAAAAGTAAAATGATTTCTATTTTACTGGATTTTTTTAAAGTACACTGACCTTAGCAAAAGTGAAACAATGAATTTGAACATTAAAATCTGTATCAAGATATGCCTATGTTTATGCTGCCTTAATCCCACCAGACCTTAAAAATTAAGCAGAGGAAATCTGGTCAATATGGTAAGAGACACAAATCAGTTTTAGAAAACAAAAATAACAGTTAAGAGAGCATCTAGCCAACTCCTTCAAAACACTTTAGTGCAAATTATCTGGATTTGATAGTTTTAGTAAGTTGAACGTTGTCTGTTGTTTAACATTTTCTTCAGTCATTGTTGCAAAGTGATGTACTTTTTGTTACCAAGTGATTTAATTGTATCACACAGCTTTTCCCCAAACAGAACTACAGTTAATATTTCTGCTGTAATGACAATATTACTGTTCCCATTCAATACTACAGTAAAATCTTTTTTTTGTGCAACCTTTTAAATCCTATTACTATTTATTCTTCTTTGCATAGTTGAGTCTGTATCCTTTTGCCTCCCTTACAGATTCTTTTTTTAAGATCATTTTACTGCCTAACACCAATTTCTATCTCAATTATTTTTATAGCTGCTTTCATCATATCTCTAAAGGAAACCACCTTTTAAACAAAATAGCTTTCCTTCTCACTTGTCAAGTTGATGCTTTTGGGGGTGATATGTTTTTGAGTAGCTAACAGTAATAGGTCACTGGATTTTGGTTAAATTCTTCCCCTGGCTTGTTTGAACCCAAGTTTTCCCTTTTATTTTTTTAATATAAACTGGTTCTATCATTTCTTTAAATACACTTATAAAGGTGTGTATGTATTCACACACACATAGAGAAACTGAGGCACAGAGGAAGGACAAGAGACTTCAATTGGTATGAATTCACAGGCACACCAAGGCAAGACAGGCACACACAGCAATAAACAAAATAAAGAGTAGTGTTTCCCAGCCTGTATACAGAAACATGGTCACAACTCCAGAGCAGTAATGTGAGAAGTCCTACATCATGTCTTCCCAAAGATACCAGGCTGAGGGGGCTCTAGCCAAGCCAAGGTAAAGGATATATGACAGCTTTGCTAAGCAAGGCCTCAAGACGGCTCAAAGATGTTGCTCCTCATGCTAAAAGGACTAAGCTAAAAAAGAAAAAAGAGGGAGGAGGAGCCAACTGAGAATTTTTCAACATCACATGGGACGGTTATGTTATAGGAGTTCAATAAATTAAGCTCTAAGAAGCAGATTTTGTTTGAGCAAATTGATTTGACTGAGATGACAGTACCAATTAAGCATTTATTCTTTGTATTTGCAGCACAAAAAAGTAAACACAGAATATCTAATAACAACAGAAGATTTGTCTTAAAAACTGTTCAGACAATAGATGTTCCAGGAAGAGTCCACAACAGTTTGATTTTTTCAAGATATCCACGTTCACTGCACAGAAAATAATAATGAAGCTGTTTTTCTTTGATTTGGTATTGAAAGTGTATGCTACAAAACAACCTAAATCCAACATGCTGAGAAGGAAGATTTGCCTTTACAGCTAATTCAAAACCCTGCAGAATTTGTTCTAAACCAGGTTCAAACTCTTATTTGAACCATAACTGCCAGTAGGACAAACTGACCAGGAGACAGAAAGTAATGCAACCAGTTGCTCAGATGATGCACAGTCTCCATCTGGGTGAAGCCCTGAGTTACTTGTTTAGAGCTCACAAGTAACCCTGCTTTGAGAAGCAGGCTGAACAAGAAATCTCCTGAGGTCCCTTCCAGTCTGATGGAGTCTGTGATAACAAATACAGATATGAGGAAACTATAGACTGGTTCTTGGTGTGTTTTACCCCACAACATTATAGACCACCCCTATTCACAAAAAAAAAAAAAAAAACAGACATACTGTGATACTGGTAGGTGGCAAATATTGTGGTATTTTTTTTCAGTGTGTAACTCAATCTTAGGCTCAGAAGACTCTGGGCCTGCTTCATCCAGCCAAAACTATTTGAACTGTAAAAAAACGTTTTAAAAAAATCCATAATAAATCTCCAACTTACTTGTCTTTGAAGATGTCTTGAGCAGTCTTATCTTCTTTTTTCTTGCCAACTTCCTTTAGGGGGAAAAGTGCTTTTACTTTTTCAAGAGGAGACTGGCACCTTTCTTTCACCACACATGGCATCTCCAGCATCTCTAAAAGGTGCTGTTCGATTGGTGGGAGTGGCTCATTGGGGTGAAAAGCCTTGTGCTGCAAACACTGCCAGAAATTATTTGAGAACAGAAAATTTAGTTTATGTGCTTTCATTAGAATGCCTGTATCATATGGTACATGCAAAATACCTTCCATATTAAAGACACTATCTTCATATTGCTGACAAATATTCCAGCTCAGATTGAAAGTCTCATTATCAGCTGTTTAAGGAGATAAATAATGATACTGAACAAGAATACTGATGCAGATGTTCCTACACTCAATAGAATGAATTCTATAAAAATTATTAGAAAAACAGTCATCTGCATCTATTCAGCTTTTTAACTCAATTTTACCCTTAAAGTGCAGTTCTATTATAAAACAGTCACAGGAGAGAGATTTCTATACATTTTGAAAGATTTATACCCAAAATAACAAAAATATTTTTTCTTGGTCAGTACAAACTCAGTATGCACAGAAGATAAATTTTCACTAGTTTAAGAGCAAACGGAAAGAGAGAAGTTAATTATGCACAGGTGAGGCACAGAATATAGGTATGCTTGCAAGTGAGCTTTGAACATAGTGAGGGAATGAAGATATCTGACAGATGTACATCAGAATTGGAACAGATGGTTAAGAGCTACAGAGGAGAAGGCCTTTTAACCAAAGTGTAAAGACAGTGCACACAGTCAGGGAGCCAAGCAGAGGGAGAGAGATGAGGTTAATGAGGCAGGCTACAGAAATTCCACTGAGAATTTTAAAAGCAAAGTAGATATCGCTTACGTGTTGTGAAGTGTGGGACAGCAGTAGAGCTCTGTGCCTGTGTACATACAGATACACAGACGCCAGTGCACGCACACACATACCTACTTAAAAACACCTGATGTACATATGAGAATATTTTTTCTAAACCCATTGCACTGGATGAATTTGACACGAGTGTGAAGGTAACCACTCAGCAAACTAGGAATACAGCAGAGATTTGCTTCCCTGTGGGCTGTCAGACATGGCATTAATTTAAAAAACAAAACCAAAGCAAACAAAGCCCTCTCTACATGCTGAAAAGCTGCCAATAAAGAAAATCCAGACCATATGCTACACATCAATACTGATGTGCTTTCATGCTGCCATTAAGATTCCAATCCATATCAGAGCACACTTTCAAAAGAAGGCAGTCATACAAGACTACTGATTTGGAAACACTTGTAATGATTTAAGGCATAATTATTTTGAAAGAGAGTAAAAATGTTGCTGGAAGCTGCAGTAATGGCTTTTGTGATACAAAAAAACCCACAGTATTAAAACAACATTAGGGAACCAAAATAAACTGACAAAGCAAAAAAACCTAAGTCCCCTGTTGTGAATGTGTTTTTCAGGCTTCTGCATCTGCAATGTTTATGTGTGTAGCTGCAAAAGCTGAGCAGACTGAGCAGCCACAGCCTTCACTTCTTCCTGTTTTTAGATGACAACCTCTGAGCCCTGAGATGCCAGGCACCATCAAAACTCAGGTGCTTCATGGAGATGAACAGACTTAACCTGGAGTTTCTAATCCCAAACAGTCCCTTTTAAGCTTGCATCCTCTTCCTTCTATGCCCAGCAAGAACCATGTCTTCACTGGCTAGAAGACAACCCATACTGCCACTGGCTTTTTGAAAGAACATAACCATACAGTCCAACAACTTATCAACGATCTTAGTCCAAAGGTTGCTCACATGTGGTCTCACAAGAGCCATTAGAGCATATTTAGATGCAGACACTGCAGCAAGATCCCATGACCTATGTGATGCTGCAGGCCACTGTTCCTACAGAGCTTCTGAGTACAGAACAATCACTGTCATACAATTTATTTGGCTATCAAATAAAATACATTGCATTCCTCAAGCATCTTATGTGCTTCAAACCTCTGTATTTAAGAGGGGCAACTTAAATCAATGATTTTGGAAGTATGCCACCACAAAAGCTACAGAAGTTCACTTCGGCTTTTCTGGAAGCAAGAAATAAAAGTTGGAACTCTGGATATAGGATATTCCTCATCTTCCACTCCAGCAAGCATTAGCAACTCCTTTCCACCCACTCTGTCATTTCCTGATGCCTACCATTACTTCCAGAGATATAATTTAGCTTGATGTTTCTGTTTAATTTCTGGCTCTTGTCACTTATGATTCCAAAGATCTTCATGAGGCAACAGAGCAGGAAATGAAGGGGTTAATCCTTTCTTCAGTTATTTTTCCAAACCATTTATAGGTCCTGTTTAGCCAAATCAATTTACTTGCTACCTACATTCAAAAGATGGCGTATAATTTTTCTTCGTAGTTCTTAAGGAACCAAGGTTACAACTTGGTCTAAGAGCACAATACCAAGAACCTGGAACACATTTGCAGCAAAGGAGAGAACAGTCTTGTGCAACTTACACAGATTAATGGCAGTTCCATAACCAAGACCAAAAAATGGGACTGTGTGTGGCCAAAAGAAAGCTCTAGAAGGAAAATGACTGGTAATTTAGGGCTTTATAAACAGCAAGCACTGTTGGACACCACAGGCAGGAACTGTATCCTACCTAGTATATTGAAACAGTCAATCAATACTTTTCTCAACGGTACTATTCACCCTTACAAAACCCTATTAATGTCTAAGGCAACTGGTGAGATAACAGAGTTACCCTCTTCTAGCAGCATTTGACTCAACTGCTGGGACAAGACCATCATGCTGTTTAGAAGACAAATGGCACACCTTAGAAAATGTCTTCCACTGATAGTCAACGTCCACTGAACTAAAAGAACACAAAACTGTGTCTAGCAATACAGTAAATTCTATCCCCTATGTTTCACCTAGAAACAAAGCTGTATCTGTTTTGTAATACTCAAGATTCACAATCCTTCCTAAAATACAAGTCATGCAGAGGCCAATCCACTTAAAGCTCTTGGCCAGTAATAATCTTCTATTGACCAAACCTTGCATTCAGTTACACACCATCTTGTCAATATGGCTGGCAGAACTGGAAGGGAACACTGAGTTCTCTGAGTGTCAATCCAAGTAGAATTTTAAGACAGTGGGCTTACATGTGTTCTTGAAACATATATATGACCTTCAGGTCCTTTGGGTCTTTTGACAATACTGAGGTAGCATGGCTTTTGGAAGCTAGGGCAAGTTTCCTGAGTTTAAAGAAAGCATCTTCTTCCTACTTGTGATTGGAAAAAATGACATTTGAAATTGTTGAGATATGATGACCATGGTTGCTGCAATACCATTTTTGGTCAATTTTCAGAGTGGAATAATGCACTCACTGTATCTCCATGGTTCTGTACACAGCACAATTCTGTACACAACACAACTTAGGCAGCTGCATAAACGGCAACAAAATTTTCCTTATTTTTGAATTTGCTGTGTCATTTTTTTTACACATTTGAATTTCAATGTATAATTAAGTTTCTCATCCTTATGTTCCAATGAAAATCTTTGTGATATGAAAAGAACGTAAATCGAAATGTAGACAGCTTGGTACAATAACAGCAAGAAGTGTGAACTGTTCTGCTTGCCTGTAAAATGCATCAGCTCAGACACTCAAATGGAATATTTTAAATGTCAACAATGTTAACCATTTATTACCAGTCAGGTTCCCCTCAGACTGATCTGTTTTGGAATGACTGCTAGAGGCAACAATGAAGAAAAAAGCAACTCTGCTCAAGAATCGATGGAACACAGAATGTGAAGCTACAGAGATGCCTGATTTTCAGCCAGTCTCTCTCTTTGCTCAGAAGCTGAAGGCTGAGTCTTTGCACCATGATTGCTGCAATACTGTCTTGAGATACCCAAGCAAGTTTTAACTTGTCTAGTCTAGGTGCCTGTGAATATCTCTAATGCTGTTGCAGAAACCTCAGAAGAGGTGTAATTTCCCTTGTTTCCTGAAAACTGCTAACTTTAAGAATAAGATCTATGTCGGAGCAATGTAGAAGTCACTGATATCCCATATTTAAATGGGAAGGAATTTATATTCCTGTCTTCAAAACGCAGATCTTTCCAACGTGATTCGGAGAAAGACAGAAAGGTGAAAAGTCTTAACAAAAGATTAAAAAAAAGAAAAAGACATAGTTCACCTCACCTGATATAACCTCTGAAACTGAGGGTTTGGGATTTTGCTGGGCTTAAACAGGTCCTCAAAAGTTTCTCCATTATCATCTTCATAAACCAAGTTCATAGAATCAATCAAAGAGTCAACAGCAGATAACTGATCCGCTAAGGCAGCAATTACATACAAAGAAATAGTAAATATACTTGCAGATGGATGCATTTCTTGAAAAAAATTATATAAATGAAGATTCACTTCACAACCTGAGATTTTGACCAAGTCATTACATGCCACAGAGTATACTGCAGATACAGACATGCCAGTAAAGAATATGGGTAATGGACATAGCAATAAGCCCCCTGCTTTATTTAAGGACTACAATGTAAAGTCATAAAGCCTTTTTATTTTTTCCCCTCATGACCTCAATTATTGTTGCCTTTCTGCTTCCATTTTTCTTCTTTTTCAAGATGGTTTTATTTGCAACAGAAGTTTTATAGGCCACTTGGAAATTATGGAGAACAGTTGGTCTGAAAAACTAAATGGCATAATATAAATTTTAAAAGTTAGAACTGCAAATGAACACAGTTCACAATTGTCAACTACTAGTTTGGTAAGACAGGTTTTAGATTTGTTCTCAAACTGCTGGTTACAGGCAAGAAAATAGAAACTGTTTCAGAAACAGCCCAGCACGCTTTATATATCCTGATGCGCAGATGCCCATTCAACGGATCTCATAACAAATTAAAGAAGTGGGAGAGGATTTTAAAAAACATCCATTTACACTGTGCAAAATTCTCAGAACAGTGAGTCAAGCTTTGTATAGCTGCACGTTCTACGGCTCTCCAAAGACACCCTCCATCTGAATCCAGACACAAGTGCATGCTTTAAAAAACCCACCACAGAAAACACAGTCTTTGTTTTTGTACGTTCTACTAACAGGGTATGCTACAGCTGGCTACAGGACCAGCTTCGTACAAATGGAGCTGATGCCTCTATTCTAATGCTAGCTAGCTAACCACATCTGTAGCCTCCACATGGTTTGCCCGTTTAGTCTCACAAATGAGTTCGAAGATCAAAGAACACAGAGGACTGAATTTCCAGTCTCTATCACAAAGATCCTGTGACTAATAATCCCATAACCCAAGCCAGAAGTCATCTAACAGGACAGTTTTCAAAGACTGCCTGCAAACATTAAGTCTACTCAGCCTGCAACTAAGCTGGAAAAGTTTTGATAAAGGCTTTACACTTTAAGATGACAACACCATAATATCGTCTCAAAGAGCTTTTCCTCTAAGCCAAACTAACAACAAAACTTACATTTTCATTGGAAAGCCAAATATTCTAAATCTTTTTGAGTGTCTTAAAGGAAGGCAAGTAGGTTATTTGGTTCAGCTGCTGAGCAAAGGACTATCTTACCTGTAGGAATGCATTTTTTGTTGTTTTTCAAGGATGAAAATAGGTACTGTCTTAAGTCCTCCGTGAAGGGTAGTTGCACGTAGATAAGACACTGAGAGAGACAAGAAACAATTGAGCCTGAAGGAAAAAAATCTTCAAATATCCCAGAGAGCCCTATCAGGGCAATATAGACATAAGAAAAATCCAAAGAGCTAGCATCTGTGTGTATCAAAATACTTAAAATATTTACACCACAACACAGTTTTAAGCAGAATAAAACATTATTTTATGATACAGTGATGTCTACGCTCCTCATTTTTCCACTGGTGAGATAAAGACCCTCCAAGCCATCTGACTGTGCAAAGTTCCAACCAGCCAAACTTTAAAACACACATATTTTGATGCTTTGGGAGTTTTTATCACAGTTTACTGTGCTTCAAAGTCAAAAGCTGGTTTGGTTTTTTTTTTTAGGTTCTCAGCCTAATTTTTCCTTTATTCAAATACCTCCTCCAGTTCATACCACCCTAAATAATTCCTTTCCATCCTTTATGTTTATATGCTTCAAAAGTCTGAAGATTGCTATGTCCACCCTCACCTTTGTCACTGCTTAGCCACACTACACGTACTTAGCTCTTTCAATAGTCTTTGGTAAGTAAGATCAGTGGAAACACACGGTGCAATGATTGCCGTACTGTGTTGCTTCCGTGTCTCACAGAATTTTAAAAAAAATATTTCAAATATGATTCTGCTATGCATAGAACTTTTTCTTCTTTTTGGTTTTCCTAAGATACAGACTTTACTTTTTTCCTCCTGTTTCTTAAAATAACCTTTCCAAGTAAATAAACATACTGCTGCCTTCCTAACTCTCCATACGAATTTAAACAACAGCTTTATATGCTATGAGTTCCTCCCCTCAGTTCCAGTTGACTTGGAAACCTAATTACAACAGTGTAGTTGGACATGCTTGAAATGCCACACCAACAATCAACTTCAAATTTTGCACTACCAAACAGCCTGGAGACAAATCTGCAGTTTAATAAAGTGAAAGAATCCAGCGCAACTTTGGATTGTGCACAGAGAGGAAAGTGGTAACACAGCAAGAAAGCAATGGCAACTTAATGTAGAACTATGTGATTACACTGTTTCTAGACACCAAAATTATTGAGATTTCCAGGATAACAAGCTGAAGTTATTGCTACGTTAGTGAAATAAAAATCACTGTTATTTAAATTTGTAATATAGAGGATACTAAAAGAAACATATAGCATTATTTTTCTACATATCTTGGTACTATTTCCTAAAATCAATCTGAAAAGTCACATTGTTTTCTTCTTGTATTACACAACACTGCAAATTCTAATGGTTCAAATATGATAATTTATTAATTAATATTTGTAAAGCATCAATATGGAGGCTCTCTGCAGAAAGGTAAGAGTGAAAAATTACCTCATATGCATCCTTAATATGTGGAAAAGCAACTCCAACTTGCGGGTTGCATCTTCTATCGTAAGCATAACGCACTATAGCTACAACTTTCAACTCATGCAGTGCATGAATAAGGGCAGAAAAAGCAACTGCTGCATTCTGGAAGAGAAAAGGTCTAGCAAGTCATGCAAGTTCTCATTAGTCTGCTGAAATACATCTTTCACAGTGAATTCAACAGCACTGATTTAGTCATGACCAGTTTGCATTTCAGCGAGAACTTCAACACAAGCATTTTTCATGTTCAAAAACTGAAGAAGCAGAAAGGTCAAATCTCATCATGGCAGTGTACCCATTCAAAGCTGAACAACCTTTAAACCCAGTATGTTCCACCTTTTCCACTAGGTGTGAATACCTTTCAGAAGCATCATGAGAGAAAGAAATGGAGGGAAGTCAGACCCTTAAAAGGAACACATCCGAGCACTACAGTGAGGTTTTTACCTCTTATATAATTTGGAGGTCTGTTCTAAATAAGAGTAATAGGGCATACTGTGGTCCGCATGAGAATGGACTTAAGCACCAATTCCAGGTTCCTCATGCCCTTGCACCAACATAATATTTATCAATTTCTCATTATTCGTGAGATACAGTATTCATTTGGAGTCTAATCCAACTTCTTTTCATCCTAAAGGGCAATGGAACAAGACTTCTGTAAGCTGCATTAAAAATATTTGTTTCACTAAGATGGAAAGACAGGACAATCTCAAAGACCACCACTATGCTTTTCTGTTCCACTGCAGAATACTTTCACCATTAAACTTCAGTTCACCTTACCTCATCATCTTTTGCTGCAAAGACCTTCAGGACCTGGTTGCCCATGTAGTAATGCCTCTGGATCTACAGATTCAAATAGTCAAGAGTTAGCCTGATCTAAAGAAAATATCATTAATGCAACTGGACCAATTAGATTATGAAACAACTAACACATTACTCAAGTGAGAAGCCACTCCATTTATCACTGAATATGGGTATTCAGTCATATTTAGCAGGATATCCTCATACCTTCCTCTTAATGGGCAGGAATGAAAGGCTACAGCACTAGCAGCTGTTACCAGCCTGAATAATACTGCAGTAATTCAAACGGCAGTGTGGAAAACCACAGTAGTTACCAAAAGACCTAAACCTAACTGACACCACATCTATGCTATTAAATTTTCCTGGCAAAGATATGTCAAAAAGCAGCTTAAAAAAAAAAAAAAAAAAAATCACATCCTTAACTAAACTAGCTACTTTAACAGCAACACAGAATATATACAGCTGTGCTGGCAAAGCACCACTTCTGTTACCAGAGTTTATGCTGTTTATGAACACGGCTGACCCAAAGAACAACTCAAACCAGTTTGATCAAGGAGCGAGACACATCCAGAGAAACAGCAACAGTGGAAAAGACTGTCACAAAGACTACACTCTCCTAGGAATATTGGTTAAAATTACCTTTCTTTGTTAAAGAAAAAATCTCTTCAAATTACACTGTCTCCAAACTAACCTGGAGTCTCAGTATTTAGCAAATTACCATAATGCTGCTGAAGTAAGTGAGAAATTGCACCAGAGCAGATATGTTTAATAAATTACAGCACAATTCTTCAAATCAGATTATTCTACCTGCAATTATTCTTTGCTGTGGTGTCTTTAAAAGCTCAGGAAATTTCATGTTCAGTATAATATAAATCACTAGTTGTATATACCACTACACCTTTTTCTGTTTGAAAAAAAAAAGTCCCTTTGTAATATTTCAAGTATTATTTCTTGATTTACATGTCATTGCTTATAAATTAAAAATCAAAGTTTAAGCGGTCTCTGATCTTCCTTCCTGAGGGATGTGAATAACTCAAAAAAAATAATATAAGGTGGTTCTACTCCTTCTTTAATTATGTATTTGGAGCTGTTCCAGTTTCCCTAGTTAATAATAAACAATCTTTTCTCCACAGTTTTTAAAAGAAACAATTTAACACAAAACGTACAGTTGAATAATGTCAGTATTAGGATTCCAAACTATAACATTCAAGAGCCAAAACACAAGGGAAGCACGGGTCTTGAAATTCCAGTTGTAGTCGAAAATTTCCTGATATCGTTACCTATACAGTGCAGTAATCCTAAAATCACACCTGAATAATTTTATTCCATGGAGGTCTATACAACTACTATTGGGCATAATTACTCACACTCATAGTTGCAGAACCAGAGCATACTTTAAGATGCAACTCCTATTCATTATGAAATCCACAGACAATAGAAGCACATCGTAAAAATCATCAAAAGCAGTAAATACTGTGCATTGGAAAAAATATAAACCAAATTGGTTAATTGAGGCATATTTATGTGAATAAAAAATATTCCTATAATTAATTATATTCCCACAACTAAATATTAATTATGTATTTGAAGGTACTAACACACTATCTGACCAATGGTGGGAAAAAATTAAAAATCCATGTAAAATAACAGCTCACTTGTAGAAGCATTATTCTCATCTTTTTTCCTCTTAGTTTCTGTTTTCAGTAAAAGTCAGATTTCAAATGGGAGGCCAGCCTCCAGCATAAGAAAATGCTACACATGGTGAAATCCAGCTTACAGAATTAAATCAAGACAGTAAGACTCAGCTATAGGCTAATAATGCATGAAAAGATGCAAGAAATTGTCTGCATTGGGTTGAGGCACATTTCTTGTTAGATCCTGTTTCTGGTAGGGGATTTAGCAGTCCCTAACATCGCTCTGCCCTGGCCAGTTTAGGATATATAAGCTCAAGCATGACAATTCCTCAGTCAATCACTCCCAGTACACAAGCCCATGATACTTAACAACCTAAAGTTCTGAATGTCCTCAAGGAGCAAGTAGATTACAGTTCCCATTTAGGATGTCTTCTCATTTTAGTAAATCAACAGTTAATAACACTGTCTGGGCCACCACACTGTGGTATTCTCGAGGCATATCTAGCAACATGCAGGAGTCTGTGCCACCTATACTGTAAAGTAAAAATGTTTAGTTACATGCCTTAGGGAGTAAGCTCCCACAGACACTTCCTATTGTATTAGCATCTTTCCTTCCTGGTAAAGGTAAGGATTCCTCAGCCTTGGGCATGGGTTCTGGTTTGTTCAGGCAGAGAAACATTTCAAAGAGGAGGAAGAGGGCTGGGAGCTTTCAGAACAGAAGGCACAGGGCTGCCCTATGATTTCCTTGCAGTTTTCAGTGATGAAGGGGACTGGGTAAAGTTCCAGTCACCCTGTGCAATATACTGGAGAAAAAAAAAAAAAAAAAAAGAGTGGGAACAGCTTAACATTTCTAGCAATTACTGGTGCTCAAATCTCTGTACTTTCTCCTCATGTGTCCTGCTTCAAGAATGGTTTTACTAAGGCTTTGCCTAAGGCTCTCCCAATGCTTAAGTCCTAGATATTCTGCAGGAAATCGCCTTGTGCTAGATAGCTTTTATTAATGTACTTGCTCAATGTAAGTTTCTTACAACTTCCAGGAAAAATGAATGCCAAAGTTAATATCTCAAGTACAGGTAAGTGCATACAAACACCAAGCAGCTCACTAAAGGATAATTTTTTCATCATCTTTATTTAAGTTCTATGAAGTTTCTGCTACACTTAGTTTTTATTATAATAGGAACAAGAAGCAGGTCATAGTTCACAAACTAATCCTTACGGAAATGAGAATGAATGCAGTCAGTTCTCAGGCTTTCTTTAAAATTTCTTTAATGTTGAGGGAGAGACTTGTTCTGTTAAAAAGAACACACCTGTGGCTGGACAAAGCCCAACAAGACTTCTGCACGACCTGGACAGAAGAGAGACCATCTTCTGTTGCAGATCTGGCATCATTATTTGAGTTTGTGAGACAGAATGAGCATATGACAGCTCTGTCTCCACTTTGCAGAGATATGTGTTATGGGGCTCTGGCTTCACCTGAGGGCCCAATGGCCACACTTACAAGCTTCTGTCCTTCACAAGACTACATACTCTTTACACATACTAGAATCAGCAGATAAGTTCCCCCTGCACACCTGACTGCAGTCACCATAACTTTAGTGAATTCAAACTGAAATCAATTGCCTTGAACAACCCAGGAAGTTGAATGGGAAGAAATTTATTGCTGTACCTGAGAGGATCTGGTGAATCCCAAAACAGAAAAACATTTTGCTTCTGTTTTGTATTTCATTTGCTCTTCATCTTCCTTGGAAAAAGGAATTATATCGCTCCCATAGCGAAACCCTGGAGAACAAGAGAAGAGCATCTGGTAAGCATATGGGCCTCAATTCTAACACTGAAATTAGCTCTCTGAATATTTTAACAATGCATGCATGCCCCACAGCTACACTCCACACATGCTCGTCAAATCGCTTTCTCTGTTAACAAAAAAAACACACACCCCATAGACCCATTTTGTACTTCACAAACAGCAGTTGCACTCTTTGTACATTGTTTTACATAACACAGTTACCCTCGTAGACAGCAGGAAAGAAAGTAAGAGGACTGAACATCTTGCTCAACAAAGTTATCCTCACAGAAGAGATTTAAGCAAATCAGAATAGATTGCAGCAAATAAGACTGCAACTCCCTGCAAATATAATACAAAAAAATGCTAATTATACCAGTAATCAGCAATAGGGAATGACACCAGAAGGGATTCAGAGAACAAAATGGCACCAGTGGAAGTGAGATACACCTTCACGTGCAACAGAAGGCCAAAGCATTCTTGTATGCAGAAGTGGTCTTCCTACAAATTTCTGTCTTACTTCTTATGCCTTACGTTAGAGGAATATCTCCACAAAATAGGAATTTGTTATTTTTTCAGTGGTATCATGTGTTCCAGCTGCTTATTCCCCCATCTCAAGCTCCAATATCCTCCCTGTAACATTATCTCTTTATCATACTGTCACAGACTAAGGAACCTATACTCGGGTGTGAAGAAAGCAGAAAGAACAGAGATAAATCCCTGGATGAAAAACCTATATGCAGATATATTTTACTGGTAACAGGAAAACATACAGGTAGAAATTTCAGTATGGGTATGTCAAATGTCATAATTAGACAATGTTTTGCATTTCCGAAAAGGTCCACTAAAGTCCCTGAGGCATCAGCAGCTCTTAAGCAGGAAGAAATATCACACCATTGAGAGAAATCTTTGGTCTTCTTTAGTTCACACTGAACTGTTCAACACTCCTTTTTACTACTGTCCTGCAAACACTCACCAACTTAGGTAGTCAGGACATCAGCAGAGAATGGTCACAAATCCTTCAGGGTATAAAAAGCAGATTTTTTTTTTTACTACAAGTTTTTAAGTTATAAAATAAGAACAGACTACTAGCTTTTAACTATCATTTCTTCTTAAAGTAAAACCACACTGTCATTGGGATACTTTTATCTGCTACTGCTACAAAACATCTATGATTGTTAGAGTTGAAAAAGGTTAAGTAAAAAACCACAGTGTTTATTTTAGTTTTTCAAATAATTTTATCCATTTGACAGCACTTCTGTACTATTATCTGAATAGTTCTGCCTTTTATAGTTAATACTCTTGCCCTACTTGTGTGGAATGGAAACAGCAAAGGAAAGAAAAAAAAAATCAGTTTTAAAAAAAAAAAAATCTATAAAATTGCCCAAAATTAAACATGGCTGCTTTACTCCATTTTTAAAAAGTGGACTATTTCATACTGTTTCTGGGGCATTTCTTCTTCTACTAAGGAATTCAGTCCCCTTAGAAAGAAGCTGAAGGTTATAGAAGTAGTATACTGCATACCACTACTTCAGACTGAATCTGTTAGGGAATTTAAACAGCAAAGCTAACAAACTCTTGAACACTAAGCTTTCCTTCAATGGTGTCCTCTTCCCAATTAAGAATATCTAAAGGAGCTGCTTATCTAGAAAAAAAGTATTGTTATGAAAGTATTCATGTTATCAGTACAGCCACAGATTTGAAAACAGAACAGAGACAGCAGCACTACTCACTACAGAACTGAGGCATGGTCCTCCACAGAATACAGTTTATAAAACTGTAGTGCCTTCCAAGTTCCAGCTGGTGGTATTATTATTCCTATTACTGGCAGAAGTATGAATTTTTTTTTAAAAAAATATGTGAAGACAAAGAGTCTCACATAACACTCTGTGTTCCATTAGCTTACAGAGCTTACATTCTAAGACCCCAGCTAGGATTCAAAGTATAAAACTAAAAGGCACTTAAGTGAATTAAGAGTATAAGCCATTATCTTCTGTTTGTCTTCAGGGTGCAAATAAAGAAGTCATACCTTGAATAGTATCATCTTTCTGAACCTCTGTCTCATCATCATCATTCAAGCAGTAAACTGTTTCTCTTTGCACATCATCTTTTCTGTGGGTTTTAGCATCCACAACTGTCCAAATTTTTTTCACCTTCTCTTCTGTGACCTTTATAACAGAATTCAAAGAAAAGGAACATTTAAGGTTTCAGTGGGATCCAGAGTGCTTACCAGAACACACAAAAGATTCTTAGACCGAGTGCTGCATTACTTTGCCAGTACCTGAGGAATAATGACAGCCCCAAATATGCATCACTGACTGCTACCACAGTGCTTGCAGCACAGTTTCATCTGTATGAGACCTCACACCTGAACAGTATCATACTGACTGCACACTTGCCTTGGTTATTCATTGAAGTCATGGGCTAAGTCATTTGTGGAAGTCTTTTAGTCATAAGAACAAGTTACATGTAACTTGCTCGCTATGCACTTGATTTCCTCCACCTACATAAATGCTTTTGACAAAGCATTAAGATGCGTTAAAGACAAGAAGATTCAACAGCCATTCAGCTTGTTTGACTAAGTTCTGCATCAGGCTTGCTACACTACAGGATAAAAATACCCTGTATTACTGCAGCTTCCCCAAAAGGCAGGAAAAAATCCCAGCTCTATTATGGAACTGGAAGGAGAAAGAAGGATTAGATACCTGCAATGAGTGAATGTTCCACAACTAGAGGGAAAGGAAAAATGCTTTCTTTTACTCTCTACTTAAGTGAAATTGATGATATACTTGGTGAATGAGAAGAAAAATAAAGAACTGGGCAGAAAACAGAAAAGACAGAATGGATTACATCTGTAGATACCACAAGTCTATTCCTAGCTCTGCCCAAACTGCTGTATGACCTCAGGCTAGTCACTCAGTTCATGTTGCTTACTCTCTCAAGCTTAATTTGTTTTGTGTGTACACATCTTTGGGAGGGGACTCTCACTGCATATTTTCACAGGTCTGGCACAACATCCTAATAACAACAAAAAACAATATAAATAAATATGAAGCTTGAAGCAGAGATCGCTTTCAAGGCTGGCATGGCTATCTGTCAGAAGTCAGATATATTTCAACTTCAAAATATATCTTCCTGAAACCTTGCAGTATTAGGCAGCCTATTAATCTTGGGTTCACACAACAAACCGATTAATCCACCAGTGATAACACACCATACAGCTACCTATTAACTATTCAGAAACAGAATTTTGCACATTTTATGTGTTCAAACACACTTACTTCTTCCTAGCACTGTGTGAAGGACTCAAACCATAAGGGAAACAGCCAGTGCACAACCTCTACCAAACAGTATGAAGCAAGCTGAAAAAATACACCTTTTTTCCAAGTCTGAAATAACACTACATGTGATTCAAAATAATAGCTTGTAAAACATTTACATCCACCATTTTACATACACATGCACATAATTCCTATCATGCCTAGGGCTTAAGAAATAGATATTAAAGTCTCACTGAGCTGCAGATACATCACTGATGCCAAATGGAAAGCTCACACGATCACAGCATTCTTAATCAGGTCCATCAGCTTGAACATCATTAAGTGCAGCAGCAGAGATAGCAATTACTTCTACTTCTGTACATCGTGAATGTTAGTTCTCTAACATATGTGTGCAGTATGGTGAAGTTAGAGTTGCTGTGTTCCAGTTTTAGATGTACTGGCTTCTACGCCCATAAAATCTCTACCATCATTATTTTGGTGGTTGTTTCATTTTCTCAGCTTTAAGGAAAAGGCATGCAGCTGCACCTAACTTGCTGCCAAAAACACACGAAACGTGACTTTACGAACTTACTGATTTGTAGGCCACAATCCTTATAGACAAATTAGAACCAATAGTGAGCTGGCAGGGCCAAGCCATAGGTCTTCTTTCTATTTTCTTAAACATCGAAAGACGCTCCAGGCTCTCTCTAAATGAAGGAATTGAAAAGAAACAGAAATGAACTCTGGTGAACTGTAATAAAACATTACAGGCAACACGTTTTCTCCAAGGAGATGCAGGAGTCCAATTGTTTCAGCTTAGCCTGCATAAAGCATTAGGAAATAAACTGTATGAATAATCTTGTCATTAACTACTGTCAGAAAAAAGAATGGAAAAAAAAAAAAGAGGTGGTACAGTAGATTATTCCCATCTCAAGCCTTTATGATGGTGTGACATTAGGGCTTCAAGAGAGTATGTTAAGTCTTGTAATGAAACTACACAATTGCTTAAACATTTTACATTTACCTGTGCTTACCCAATTAAGGCATGTAGTTAGCTGAACAACCCAAATTAGAAAATGTTCTCTAAGTGGTAAAATGTTTTCTGCAGTGGAGGTGAAGCTTCAATCCAATTCAAAAGAATCCAGTTTCAATTAACAGGATTTTGTGTGTGTGGTAATTAACTTTCGACACTTTTTTTTTTAATACAGTACTAATGAACTCATTTCAGGGCATTCTGTTAGAGTGAAACAAGTTACCTTGAATATTTTTACCCTAAACAGCATTTATATACAAATTCATAATACACAAAAAAAGGAACTGTAATGATTTTACACCAAAAAGTGTTAACTTAATTGCACAACTTTAAGCAATGGAATCCAAAAATTAAAAATTTACAGTAAAAGTAATTTGTATTATTGTGAAATTGAAGAGGCTTGCAGCCTAGAACAGCTTTCAGCCAATACAAACCGTACTAGTTATTTTGCTGTAAAATTCAACTTGGTGTTCTACTTTTCTAGTTTGTTAGGATAAGGAAAGTTTAAGAATTTTTTTTTTTGGTTGTGTTGTTTTTTTTTTTTTTTTTGTTTGTTTTTTTTTTTTAAATTCTAACAGAAGCACAATGAAAGGAGAAAATGCCCTGAGATTTTTATGAAATAAACCTTGTATTTCCTTCTACCTGCTCCCCACCTGGGGGAAGGAAGATGTCTCTCTCTGGCAACAGAGACATCAATGTAGGAATTTTAAAAAGAACCTGTTACTACATCATTTGAAGTACTGCAACACACACATTCAAGGATAACCTAAGTGTCAAATGCCTAAAACTGTCATTTAAGCTCAAGTTATTAACTCTATGCTTTAATTTCTTATATTTCTAGAAGAAAAACGCTCCCTGTTATCAAAGAAGACTCAGCCAGTAAAACCATAGTACATGCATATTTCAACTGGTACTTTAAAAACATGTCTCTTCTCCTCTGCTCTCCAGTCCCTCCAAAATCTACAGGCAGCAGAAACACCTCCTGTACCATAGTCAGGATATCAAATCCCAAAAAAAACCAAAATATATATCTCACTTAATTTCCTGGCATGACTAATTTTTTCTCACAAGAGCTGGAATATTTGTACCCGCAGGAATAATGAATATAGGAAAACAGGGAGTGTATCTGAGTTGGTAAATTATCATGACAGATTTGCAAGGCTGACTACTTAAAGCCTGATAAGCAACTTAACTGCATCTAAAAACCTCATGTATGCTTAAACAACTGAAGCTTTAAGCTATTAGCCAAATGCTTATTTATCCAAAGATTTTGAATTTCCCCTGAAAGCCTGGTACAAAGACAGCTTATACAGCAGCAAGAGCTGGCAATAACAACACCACATACAGGGCCCAAGCCACACGGCAGCTTCATGCGTATGGATTATCCTGAAGGAGAAACAGGCCCAGAGAGATTCTGCTTTTCTGTGCAGTCTTTTGATGAAATGACGAAGCCTGCGTTTTTCTGAGAGAGACAGACTGCTCTGTTGACTAGTATGGAATACATACACAGCAATAGATGTTTCTTCACTAATCCACAGTAACGTTCAAACAACAGTTTAACTGGCTGCTGAGATGCAAAGCAGATCAGTTGAGCAGTGTGAAGGATTGAAGGAAACCCCACAAATAAAATCAGGAATAACAAGCATGCAAACCTACAAACCGTCAGACTTCTCTAAAGTACATAGATGCACTTTGCTTGTTTTTAACTGAGACAACATCTCTGTGGAAAAGTCTACAATACATCATTAGCTACATTTTTCAGAGACACATTTTTATTCTTTCATTGGGGAAACATGAAAAAAAAAAAATCTTTCAATGCTTACATTGGCGAATGCTGATATAAAAGTATGTTGTTTGGCACAATGGCACAGCAGTCTGTGATTAAAGAGCAGGATTCAACAAACAAGATTACTCAAAACATTTGTGGGATTTTGATAAACTAGTGAGCTAGAAGAAGCCTACAACCAAGGAACAAAGGCTACCATTAAATAAGTGTTCCACCTGCACTGTCACAAATTCTAACTCTTCCCAAAACATGCTTTTCAAATCTCATTTATAGAAACATTCCCTCCAAAATCCACCAACACTAAAGATGGCAGAAAATTGATTTTTTTCTTTAAACACATATACAGAAAACTAATTTTCCACTGAAATCTGTAAGCTTTTCTACCTGTTCTATAGCCACTGAAGAAGTTGTTTGAAAGGGTCTGAGTGTACAATAAGTTATGAAATACACTGACCTCAGTGGAATGGAAGCCAAGCGACCAATTACTTAATTCATTTAATCTTTTGGGAAAGAAATCAGTGAGTAACTTTGCAGTAAGATAAAAAGGATTAGCCAAGTTTACCTGAAAGTATAAACCTCTTCCAGCCCTCCTTCTTCATCCAAAGTATGCATCAGTTTCCTCACCACATTAATGCCTTCCTTCTGCTGTTCAGTTAAGCCCTTTCTTGGAAAAGAGTTCCTGTGCGTAGACCATACACTGGTGCTTGTATCTCCACCTCCATCATCAACATCCACTGGGAATGGCAGACTGAGAACACAAGCAGGAGCAGTTATGTTTGATTTTCTTCTTAATTAAAACAACCAACTGAAAATAAAAATTGTATTAGGATCGACAATTTCTATATAACTGCAGTGAGGTGTATAAAGAACCACATGGCACACAAAACACATGAAGCAGTATTTCAGCTTTGCTTGGCATTGGTAATATCTTGGGTGCACCCATTCTGGGCATTATATGTCAATAAAGATGTCCACGTACAGGGAGGGATTAGGGAGTAAAGACAATGCTGATTAGAAAACAGGACCTATGAAAAAATACTGAATAGAATAAATCCTGTAAAGAAGGGAGTCAGAGGGCAAGACAGTCAAATATAAAAGGCTGTTGCAGAAAGGAAGGGAACAACCAGTTGTTCATATTCAGCCTGCACTCAAATCACATCATGGAGTCAGGTCAGATAGTCAAAAACCTGATAAAGGTGTTTCAAATCACAATCTCTAAACCCAACTGCCTGAGGAGACAGAAGAGTCTCCATCACTGGGAATCCTCATAAAAAGATTAGACAAACACCGTTCAGCAATGACACAGATTTAACCACCCCAGTCTGGGAGAAAGGACTGCTCTAGATGATTTGTTAAAGGCCGTTCCAAGCCTGCAATTCTGTATCAGTTCCAAATGCCAACAAATGGGACCTTCACAGTGGGGCTATTAGCTATTTCTGGAATAAATGCTACTCTTTGTGATTTAATAGCTTACAGGGCAAGGTGAATTTCTGACTGGAGATGACACATTTTGCTGCACTTCAAGAATCAGATTTAAAAAGCTAGCCAGGGGTTATAGATAAAATTATTTTGCTGCTCTTCCAAATAAAATAGAGTTAACTAAGTATAATAACCACAGAAAAGAGAGGTGCTTAAGGTCCTCTACTCTGTGCCCCTAACAGTGCCTGCAGATTTGTCAGATCTTTCATCTGATCCAGTTTTGAATTAACCACATGATACCTTTTACCACATTTCCACAAAGTAAAAGAATTCTAGCATTGTATTATGTTTTCAAAAAAGCAGCCTACAGATCTCTACCTTACTTTCACCTCTTCACTCCTCACTAAACTTATCTGTGGAGCAACATATAACAAGCAGTTATCAATATGCACAACCATGTCACATACAGCCAAATTAAAGATCGAACTTCAGCAAAGCATTTGGTACCTTTTTAGGAAGCAGCATCCACTGACAAATAGAAAAACTGCATTTTAAAGCTTTCATGAAAGCAAAAAGCTTCAAAATACATCAAAGTTAGATTACTTTCATTATACGATGCTTAGAAACTGCTGTGATGAGAACTGTGTAATACCCAAAGCTACACAGTGCTCAGTATGCGCTTGGGACTTGGTAACAAGGAGGAAAACCAGCTATCTGTCAAAAGTTACAACATAAACCAATAAACAGGGCATAAGAGATGGAAGCATGGGTTGTAAGAAAAGGACAAGGTTTAGCAATAAATTATTTTTAATCTAGTATCCTGAGTATTTTACATTTGTACATGTATTTCTCAAAGCATCGTTTTGCTCATGTGGGTGGGAGCCAGGGTGTAAACCTGTAGCTAGTGCTATCACAGCAACATTTCCTTTGTGCTTCTATCAGCCCTTGGCTTTTCCTTTGCTCCATTACAAAGAAAATGTAAAGATGCATCAGAAATCTCACAGGATAAAACTGCACCATTAACTTGTGATGTAACATCTGCGCTACTCTGCACAGCAAACTACAGGTATGGAGACAAAGTAGCAGAGGCTAAATACCAGGTCTCTGAAAGATACACTCTGGCTGGTGGCACATGGCCAGGCTCATGGTGTTGTGCTTCCAGTGCCAACAATGGCTCAAATAAGCTAGAAGAGGCACGACAAGGCATGTTGCAAGCATACCTTCTGTTGCTGCGTAGGCAGAACCTGAGAGTACTCTGACATTTCTCTGACATTTTTACATTCAGCCTCTCCCAAGCACAGGCAAAAAAATTTTTTTTTTTTCCTTTTTTTTTGGAGGGTCAGCCCATGATTTTCAGTCACACTTTCCTACTTAACCCCAGTGTTATCTTGCAGATGGGCCTGCAAATGGCTTTAATGAATTTATGAAGTTCACAACATTGCTCCATACAGAATGCTGGATCTAGGTGAAAGTAAACATTAAAATGGCCAGAAATAAAACTGCACCTTTAACCTTCTCCTGTGAAATTATTTATTATAAACAGCAAACATTAACATTCATTAGAAGTTTTGCTTTTAAAGGAATTCATACTAGAATGGCTATAGCTTAGTATGTCAGCATCACGTGCAACAGCTAATACAGATCTCAGCACCATCATTGATTCTTCAGATCAATGCCTACACCCATACCAAGTCAGTAAAGGGATTCCTATTGTAACAAATAAGCCACTGCTTCCATTTTCCAAGCCCATCACTGTGGATCTAGCCCTTCTTTTCAGACTTGCTTTTCTACTGACACTAGAATCAGGCTAGAAACACCTGCAACACCACCTCATTATTTCTTCTCAGTAACTCACTTACCTGAAAGGATCTAGGCTGTTGCTGTGACAAAACCACAATTTCTCAGGCTACTTATGTTTCATTGTTTCCCAGTTCTCTGCTTATATAGATCTTTTGTCTCCCATTTTAGACTTTGGCTGTAAGTTAATCTGGAGAAGAAACCATCACCTTGACATGTATTTGTACATCATTTAAGCAAGGGGATTTGGTTCATAACTGGAATTCATGTCATGTGTACTTGATAGTACATATAGAATCATATTACATACTGGTGCACCTCTGTAGAAACAATACACCAATAGATCACCAGCTCCATCAAGACCTTTATTAAGAATGAATATTAATTTCTCTGTAAGAAAATGGTATAGTGTATAACAGTCCCTTCCATACTTACAAAAACTGAAGAGAAATTCCTGTTTTCTTCAAGTTATCAATAATAATTTCCAGCTGATCCTCACTGACAGGACTACTAAGGTCTGTAAAGAGTTCAATGTGTTTCTTCTCGTATTTCTTTCCTCTTAAAATACAAAAAGAATATTTACATATATCAGAAATATTATCTACAATGCTCTTTTTCTAATTCTTTCCTTACAAAATTGAGGCTTTACCAAAGTAATATACTTGCAAAAGAAAAAAAATAAACTAACAAACCTACTTGATAGAAGTTGTTCTACTATTGGTCATAAAATTTATGTAAGTTTTTATCTTTATATGATTTCCCCTACTCACTCCTACCCCTTCCTAAAACTGAAGACTAGCCCTGTCATTGCATAAATCAGTAACTACATCTAAATGAATGGAATTCTGTCAATTTTCACCAATGTAGATAAAATCCTAATAGAATGTTAGATCGTTTATTGATTATATTGGCTATTTCTTTTGTAGCTCTAAGTCTATCCTTGTGAAAATGGAAAAATGCATTTTAAATTCCTGTTGCTCGTGGCTGTTCCATTTTAATATGCTAATTCAGTAGGTTCATGGGATAACATGGACTTCAGAGCCTACTTAATAATAAGCTAAGAAGTAGTAACAATAAACGTCAGAAAGTTCTGTCAGACCCAGAACAAAATTCAATTCCATTGATATGTAGTTTTTATCTGGATATTCAAGTGTAAGGGTTATTTTCTTTAATTTTTACCTGACAGTATTTTCTTAACTAAGGTAAACTCCATATCAAAGGGTTTGGCACATACAAGCAACTTACCCACAAGATAACCAAAGCAGTTGCTCCACAGATATTCAAGGTTACAGTGCCATAAATACAGCCATTTTAATTCTCAACGAAATTTTAAATATTAAATTGATACAGCTTTCCACACCAATTAAACTTTATTCATAAAAACACAAATTGCACCACTAAGTCTAGCCTTCCACATTCACAGTTAGATCATATAATCTTTTTAACAAGACATTCAGTCTGTTTTGAGAGGAAATAAGGTTATCCTCCTCCTTTCCCTGAACCATCAGTTCACTCAGTGTTAGAAACAGACACATTTCCAGTCTTAAGTTCCAGAACTTCAACAACTTTGTAAGTAACACTTGTGCCAATATTTTCTTTCACTTATTTTTCTACAGCATGTTTATCTACCACAGCCTGTGTATCTACAAACAGCCACCTTATCTCCAACAGCCTTTAATTTGCTAGGCTGAACAAACTCACCTTTCGATTTTTGGTTTGGGGTGTTTTGTTTGGTTGGTTGGTTGGTTGTTGTTTTTTTTTTGTTTTTAAGATATGCCATCACCCTTATAAAATTGGTAGCCCTTTTCTATGTATTTTAACATTAACATTTTTTGAAAATAGATCACAAGAAGTGTGCCACTAAGGGAAGTCTTCATGCCTTGTATAATGCTATAGATACTCTCATGAATCTACTGCAAAGTTACCAGTTGTACCAGGAAGGTCTTCAGATTGTCTGGAGAAGCAGGATGTCTCCTGGGGATTCTTCAGGGACAGACTCTGGTTTGCGTTTTGTTTTGTTTTTTAAAAAGCATTTTCCTTATTTACACAATACTCAAAATGTAATAGTGGCAAGAAATCTGATGAGCTTTAAAGTACAAGGTCAGAATTCTGTAAAACATTTATGTTACATACTCACATTGTTTCCTTCTGAAGCAAGTCCATACACACAATAATTGCATCCAGAACTAAGCAAATCTAAGAAAAATCTCATTTAGAACATGAATCATGTCACAAAAGTGTTTTTCCCACGAAACAATCTTCTGTTTCCATCCCCTCCCAAACACTGACTAACATGCACTTTTGTTAACAAGCAAACAATTTTTGAGATGACTATTCTTCAAGTATCTACTGTGCAAGAGGTTTCTATATAACTTGTCTGGTTTGTGATCTTGTCTCTTCCACTTATCTGATAGAACAGTAATAGAGACTGCTTCAGGGCCCAGTCTTGTAACTGTCAATAAGGAGGTTCCAGTTCAATGAAAGAGCAATCTCATCTTTAGAATGTTACTTAGAATTCATGAACAAAATTTTCTCCTGCAAGTTTTTTCTCAAAACATCTGCATCTGGCAATCTCTCCGTAGCTTCTTCCTCATCACAATTTTCATTTGGAATACATTTTTATCTCTACACACAAACCTGCCCACCATTAAAGGAGGAACATGGCTGCACACTTCTCTGAAACGGCTCTGACAGTCTGAATACAGCTCACAACAATCACTTTATGGCCAGAAAGAGGAAAGAGGACATAGAAGTTGAACAGTATGTAAATGAAACATACAAAGGGACATTATATAAATCTCCTTCTTTCAAAACTCTTCCCCTTACACAGCTAACAACAGAATACATTCAAACAGGAACAACATCAAAACCACCAAGTGACATTTGGCAATGTTAGAAATACTTTATATAAAAATCAATCTGATAAACATCTATTTTGCTTTGTCTGGCTTCTGGTACTTCTGCTGACATATTTTGTAAATAATATTCTTATTTGATGAGAAAGCATCAGTTCTGCAACACTGCTTTTAAAAACACACTTCTTACTTGAGACCTAAAATTATATTATCGCTTTGTTCTCTTTAATTAACTGAGCACTTCATAAAAAAGCAACAGTTCCCTAGGGCCAAGACTCCATCTGCTAGCCTAAAAGAATGTCAAAAAGCAGCTAATCTGCTTCTGAACAAACTTAACAACCACAAACTAGCTGAACTCTAATAGCAGTTAAAACTTCAGCGGCAAATTTGAGCCCGTTTCACAACACTGACTTCCTGTCTCCTATGTAGCTGAATCAGTTTGAGAAGTGCTCTAGAATGAAAGGATACAGTCTGCTTGTTCAGAGCCTGCTTTAATCACATCTTGAATGTCTTCCATCAGATCAAAGTCTGGCAGCATTAGTGACCTGTGTATAGTAATGTTTTGGTACTGATCCTCACAAGCAAGGTCATTCCTAGTATCATCAGTGCCAAACAAAACTACAGCAACCTCATCTTTACTCTCAGCAAAAACCTGGAAAAAAGAGAAAATATAAAACAGGTATAAAAACCCAGCTAGATTCATATACAGCTACGTTAGGGAGCCTGCAGCAAGCTGAACTGATTTTGAAACAATGTCAGGTACAGTGGATTTGCTTTATCTTACTTTTTTTCAGTACTATTCTACCAAAACGCAATCCTACAGAGAATTCACTAATTTAGATACAAGCAAACTAACAGATTGACATGAGGATATATGGGATAAAACAAGTAAAACTGGCTGACTGAGATTGTGAAATGAGTCTTCAGTGTGGTAAATCTTAAAGAGTGTTGAAACATTTAGGGAAAACCACTACTCCTTCTCTACAAAGTTTTTACTGCCCTGAAGAAAAAGAGTCACCAATCCAAATGTCACGTCTCATCCACAAAAGTACAGCTGAAACCAAGAGCACTGTTACTCCTGCTTAAAACCAGACTAACACTTACTAATCTCTCATGTATTTCAATTATTACTAAATGAGGACAATATTTCACAGATGTTATTGCTTCCTCTCCCTTTTTAACAGCTTTTTATCCCATGTAAAGTCACACATACCTGGCGCTGAACAAACTTTGTCATAATCTTCTTGGCTTGTTCAAGTGAAGACTCCTCACCAGGGGCAGAACTGCTCATTGTAAAGCCTACATCCAGGCACAGCACTATGGCCACCTAGAAAGGAAAGACAATGCTCAGTAAGAATGCAAAAGAGCCAATATAAGCATAATTACTTCAAAGGGTATGTACAAAACCTAAAAACCAAACTATGTCCCTACTGGCTTCTTTTACAGTAACTGTTAATATGACACAAAGGTAGAGGACAGAACCAGCACAATTGCACTGAACTGAGCATCATTTAATCCTCTACCACGTGTCAGGTATCTCAGTGGAAAATACAGAAAATCCTATGCTACACAACCATATGTCAAGGGAGGCAATTTATACAATTTACACAAGGAAATAAAAGACAGATACTTTGTCAGCCACAAGCACAACACAATACAGTATATCTGAACAACATAAGGTAGAAATACAAGCTAGTTCTCTAAACGGTGCAGCTACATCCACCCCTTGCAGTAGCTCATAATATCTGTGGAGACCACTCTTTGGTCTAGCTCAGTAGGAATGACAGCACTGCTACAGCATCCAGGGAGAGCTGGGAGTTTTCTGCTACTGGAGGTGTCTGCAGCAAGTACTAGGTTCTGTAGCATGGACCTATGGTCTTAATGCCCTAGAAGGATGAATTCCAAGTTCAGTTTAAGGGCTTAAATCCCATATCTAGCATCTGTGTCTGCGTTTCTGGTCATAGCTTTAACTGAACTATACATAAGACTGCCAAAAGGGTGTGGCAATAAATCAAAAGCCTGTCAAGCGACATGAGATGCAGTCTGCTTCTGCAAAGCAAAAAGGATGAACTGAAAGAAAAAGTGTTGGTCTTTTGCATATGACTGTGCAAATAACTCCACGTACCTTTTTAAACATCAACCAAAAGAACCTGATTCTTTTAGTTACCTAGATCATTGTTAATATCAAGTTCATAAGAACTTACTCAGATTACCTGTCTAATGGTCTACATTAGCAGTGCTCAAACTATTCTCTTATCCTCCTTTTCCCAGAATATATTGTGCACCTCCTGTTATTTTAACAAGCACTGGTTTAGCTCACTGCATCCTCCCTGGACAGGATAAGAAGAAAGAAAGAAGCTGAGCAAAAGGGCTCCACAAGACATCCAGCAGGTTACACTCATTCTCAGCAAGCTATTCCTCACTCACTGGTGGCTTGCTTGGGAGCCAGGAATTAATGCCTCTGAGTCAGCTAGGTCTGCAAAAGCTCAGAGTAGAATAGATACAGCAGCTGAGGTTGGATTGTCACAAAAGTCTTGTTACTGCTCACCTGCCAGCCTGAGGAATTACTCAATTAAAATCAGCAACTGCAGACCCTAAGCTTGTTGCTGTCCTGCCTCAAGACACACAATGTCTGGCAGCTGAATTAATCCTGTTGTCAAAAACAGGTAAAATGCTTTTCACAGCTGGCAAGATGACAGGAAAGAAACCAAACAAGTGCAGGAGTGAAGAGCTACTGTTTTGCTTAAGAAAAAAATTATCAAGTGCCAAGTGCTAACATGCTCTTCCAAAAAGCTGCAAACTCCAAGCCCAGTGATTATTCAGGTATGTGGAATCCTCCTTCGAGAAAACGGCAGATCTCTCTTTTGGTAATCCTCCTCTATATGGCCCTTCACCTGTTATTAACCTCTGCATCTCACTTCTGAGCATCCAGCTCTGCCATTTTCAGGTACAGTCTATTAAGATGCTCAGCACTTGTGACTGTAGGACAACACGGTCACACCTGAGCTAACATCAACCTGCTTTGCTCAAATAGTGGCAAGGGTGGAAATGGAAGGAGCCTTATCTAACCTCTCAGTGCTGAAGCCAGTTATTATAAAGCTGAGAGAAACGGCTACAGCAGCACTTCAGCCTGCACACAGACACCGTGTTTAACAGATACTAAACTGCCCGCTATCAGAAGACACCGTAATGTAGCTTTCACCATCAGGATGCCTTAAACATACTAGACAAACAAACTGCACTTTTAACTGGGCGAAACCATTTCTGCTACTATGTTAGCAAGAGCAATGGCAACTACTGCTCCGCTAGCTGGGCTGCGCCCAAGGCCAGCGCTGCCCCCGAGAGAGGAACGCTGAAGTGCCTCGGAACGGGACAGCTTCGCACCAGCCGCAGCTCGGGGCGCGGCGGAGGCAGCGGTGACCCGACTCCTAAGGCGGGTTCCGCAGCCGCG